GCTAGAGCTGTGTTACACCTCTGTAGTGTTTGACCTCTTTTTTTTTTCATGCCAGATTTCCTTTCAGCAATTTGGGAGTGGCCTCTTCAAAACAACCTCTGCTTAATGCTTATTCTGCTCGGATATCTGCTGGAACAGGCAATTCCCCGTCAGTCTTCATGGGAGCTCATTCATTTGCAGCTCTCAGCTGTGTCCTTGAGATTTCACTCTCCACCCCCCCCCCCCTTTATTTTTCCTGGGCAGCTGACTTGGAATAATTTCCACTTTGCAAATTGCAAGAAGGGAGAAGACTGACAGCTGCTCCTGGCCACGCTGGCTGTAGCCTGTCCCCATTTCCCAGCCCAGCCATAGTAGTGCTGGTTAACCATACCATATGATATCTTATTTACTCCTGTGTGGCTGCCTCGGAGCTGAGACCTCTCTTCCCTGCAGAGGGGACCACGTGAGTGCTCCCCTGTCTGTTTTGTGCTCTGTGAGCCAGGTTGCATCATGCCTTTTTGCATCAGGCCTTCTTAGTGGTGTTTTGCCAACCTGGCTGGCTCTGCCTGGAGGTAATTAGGGAACAGTTTCATAATCCTTCTTGCTTGAGAGGTGTGGGCATGATAACCCCTCGCTTCCTCTTGTGTATTTCCTTTTCCTTCTCTGGGCAGCTCTCTGCTAAGATGTGCTTTTGCTTTGTGCCCAGGGAGATTGTGTGATTGTAAAACGTTAGCACTGTGGGTTACTTCTGGGGTCCCTGTCTCCCAAGGATGTGAACGTGATACATGGAGTGTCCTGGTTGCTAAATGTTCCATGGTATGGTCTCCTTTCCATTTTTCATTAAAAAGCGTGAAACTTTGTATGTTCCTCCTAGAAAGGTGAGATGTCTTCCTGCAGGCATCTTGGCTGCTTCCAGCACTCTGGGCTTCTGCTTTCCCAGTCCCTTAGGTTTTTACATCACACTGTGTTCATCAGAAGCACTAGTGCACATTTGGGTTGTTTTCACCCCTGTCCCTATTCTTTGGGGGAGTTGCAGCTGTAACTACTTGATAAACTAGCAGCACTGCATTAATTCTTTGAATCCCTAAGAGCTTTTTAGAGACTTGTTTCCATCACTTTCTGTTTTGTATTTTCAGATTGTAGCTATGAGTTAGAGCATCCAACTCTGAAGACGTGATCAGTTTATTCACAATAAATCACACACTAACAGGTTACTTTAAATAAAGATAACATTCCTCTAGTACTTACTGCATGTAACTGCAACTGTTGGGTGACAATAAAACCCAAAGTAATCATCCCCTGCCTTAGCGAGAGCTGCTGTTTTGCCACTGCTGCCTGCGTTTCAGATCACTTAAATGGCTTGGCTCACATTCCCTTCCTGTCTAACCTCCTGAAACACACACAATGTAGTTCTTGAGCAGTCCCATGCCGCACATTTCCTAAACGTTGGTGTGTTCGTTAGCTGAACTCAGCGTTAATAATCCAGGTTTTTGTGAAAGGCATGGGACTAGTCCTCGTACCTTTTTAGCTTTGTCCTGTGGCCAGCTTTACTGTTTCACTTTTCTCCTTTGTGGTTCTCCTTCTCTTCCTATTTCCCCCCAGCTCTCCACGTTGCCAGGAGGGTTTTACCTGAAGAGGATGCCTGCCTGTCCTGGCCAGCTCTGCGTTTTCTAATTGTCTCCTTTGTAGCCTCCTCCCTTCCCTCCACAGTATTAGGGATTACTGTTTTTACTAAGCTTTACATTACTGGCAGTTTCCCTCAATTTGAAAAATAGTTTATGCCTTTTCCCAAATTATTAAAATAAAAATAACTTGTCTAATTATTTTAAAAGTTTTGAAAATGTATTTTTGTTTTAAAAGATCGCAGGCAGCCCAGACACCTTTCCTTTCCCCCACCTCCAGCTGTAGCCGTGCCCTAGCCAGCCCGGAGCTCTGTGCTGGTTCACTGGCTTTGTTCAGCACTTGGCTGGCCTCTTTTGCATCCTTATTAGAGCTGGGGTGATTGGCAGAAGCCTTTCATGCTTCTTTCTGGCTAGCCAGTTAAGGCTTATGAAGCTAGTAACTACTCTTTTTTCCTAAAATAAAATAATAATTAAAAAAAAACTTGCTAAAAGTGCAGGCACACATTGGTGGAGACCACCCATCTTGTTGCCTGTAGATGCAAACAAACGAAGTCACTGCAGATAGCTGATCTCTTTCATAGTCCCTGGCTCCTAAATTCTGCCTCAGGTGATCTGCTTTTCTTGTGGTTGAAGCGATCCTTTGATAAACACAAAATGATTTTTCTTTAATTTGAGGTTATTGTCCAATTTCCTGAACTGTAGAACTGGCTGGGTTTAAAAAGCTCACAGATGAACTGGGCGGATGAAAGAAAGCAAACTGCTTTTAGCTACATACACACACTTTCCCTTCGCTTGTTTGCAGTTACTTTTGGAGCACAATTTTCCTTCATCACCACTAATAAAATACAGTTTTCCTTCAGCACCACCACTAAAATACACGTCCCTGAGTGTCGTTACAGTGCAGTGGTTGGCCTTAAATTGCCTCTCAGGCTGTCTGCACATGGATGACATTCATCTTCTTACAGCCTTTTCCTGGTTTCCTGTACTTGAGGGATTAAAACCCTCCTGCTGTTACAAGATGCCTTACATACCATAGGGCTGATGGCCCCTTTGCTGGAGAAGTGTTAAGCTTCGTCAGCTCCCAGTACCAAAAAAAAATTAGAAATTGAGATTTTATCATTTTGAATATTCCGTTTGTTGCTATGTCACAGAAAAAAGGAGGGCTTTTCTTTCAAAGCAGCCTATTCAGCCCTTAAAATAAATAAATACAGATATTATATACTCTCCTTATGAGGGTAGAGGCAGCTGCATGCTGCTAGGGTGCTGTCTTTGCCAGCCCTGTGGCAGGCTGGGCAGGGAAGAGGGAGGGCTGAGAGGGTTGTTCTGAGTAACAAACACCTGGGGAACACCAGGAGATAAGAGGCACTCAGCCACATGCAGGTGCTTAGTGCAAAATGAGGATTATTGTACTTAGACCAGCATAGTCCTGCTGAACTTTGCGAAGTGACAGACTAATCCTGCTGTATGCTCCCAGCTGGGGAGAATGCAGTTCTTTACTACATGACCTTCCCCACCCTTACGGAGCCATTTATCTTATAAATACAGCTGGCCCATCCATCTTCCCTTCCAAGTCCTGTTCCAGGCATCCCCTCTCCCAAATCTAGCCCGAAACCTCCTCTGTAATTTGGTAAGAGCTCCTGCAGAGCCTTGTAGCTTGTGCAGCCTCTGACCCGAGGAGGTGCCCCTGCCCATGCTGCCAGGAGGAGGCAAATGGGCAGTGGGTTTCGAAAACTTGCTGTCTTTTGAGACCTGATCTCGTTTGTCCAACTTGATTGAAATTGGCCAACAAGCATAGGAGAGATTAGGGAGGCAAACAGCTGTACTGCCTGAGAAAATTGGATAAAAATCATGTAATAAAAAGAACCAGTAATCTTTTTCCAAATAAGAAGGAAAGTTTGTCTTTTTTTTTCATTTTAATGGGAATGTGAGCACTACTGTCATTTTTATTTTGCTTATTATTTTTTGAAGGTGTGAGTACACTTTAGAGAGCTACTGACAACAAAGGCATTTCAGTGAATCAGTCGTTATGCGAAAAAAGCCAAAAAGCCATGCTGCATGGAAACTAAGACCTGTAATCCCTTAGTCCACAGGCAAACCTTATTAACTGTTGTTAATTAAGCCCTTGTGTTACGGGTGAATAATAATATTCTACTCCTGTTTTATTTTTGTTACAGTAGGTTCTGTCACATCTCAGAGAAAGCAAAAGTTGGGCTCCTGCTCAGTGTCCCATGGGGATGGGCTTCCAGGGCACAGGATTTGGCCTCTACAGGAAGGAATCGATTCTTTTTTAAAGGAAGAAATGAGTTTTCAAGATGACACATGAATTTTTACCGTGAAAGTGCTCCCAGTTCATTTCACAACCGTTTATGCTCAGTTCAAAGCGCTGTGTGTTTGCCCCTGTGCACCACATCACTGCGAGCAGTGCTGGTGCTGCAGGTCCCAACGCTTCGTGTCCTTGCTCACGGTGAAATCATGATGCAGTTTCAGCATTGATTGCACTTAGGGACATAGATCTGTGTCTGTTGCTTGTAGGAACATAGATCTTCCTTGCTTTCTCTTTCATCCACGGAATCTATCTGTTGTTTCCCCCTCTTTTTGCTGAGTGATTCTTGGTAAAACATTTCAAGCACCCAGCGATATGAAGAGGAGGCTGCAGCCTAAAACAGATCACTTCTGTTTAAGATCAAAGCGTTGTTACTCCCCTGCTCCTTTTGCAATGTCTTTCTCAGAAAACAGAACAAGGTTCAGGGCTGAAATCTCCTTTTTATCTGTTCTGTTGGTGGCAGCTTGTTTGCAGCCCCTCCCATCCAGCAATAAGAGATGTGCTTGGATGTCTTGTAGCAGGTGAGAGAGCTGCACTGCACAGGAGCTGTTGTGTCAAAAGCCAGATCCCTTCTGTAAAAGATCCAGTTAAGCACATAACAGCATAAACAAAACAGGTTATAACACAGCTGCTGAGTGAGACATCAAGCACAGTGTTAGAGAGCTATGAGACTCCACACAGACATTTTAAATTTTCCTTGGTGACTGTATCAATCCTTTTATTCTTGGCATTTTTGCCTCTTACTTCTACTGTATTTCACTCTCCTGGGATTTGTAATGTTTTTTCCATCTTCATTCCAAAAAAAGGCATATTTGGTTTTGTCTCTAAATCATTCTCATACCTCAGAGGGTGATGTTTACAAAGGTTGTAGAGAAAATAAAATAATTTTGGTGTAAGTTTAAATTTACCCGTTGCCTGTGTGCATAGGTAAGTGCGTTTGCCTCTAAGGTGAAGAAGTTCTTACAGCTTCAAAGCAGGAATCACTCTGAAGTGTCTGTAGTCTAAACCGGGGGGATTTGTTTTTTTTTTAGTAACTTGCTATTTTATTTTGTCTCGTTTGTATAAACAAACTCTAGGTGTTACGGAAGAGGAGAGGGCTGCAGAGATGCAGAAAACAAAGACTCTGCCATCTGTAAACAGGCTGACAGTGGATATCATGGAACTGGAAGCGCTCAGAAAGTCTGTGGAGGACTTCTTCTGCTTTTGCTATGGTGGGTGCTTTAAAGTCTACAAAATACCTGTTCTGGATTCCTAATTTTTTATTCCAGTTGGGAAGGAGGTACTGTACAGTCTTAGCCTTTCAGCTGTACTGCTGTTAAGGTAATAAGCCTCTGTCCTGGTTTCAGTTAGGACAGAGTTAATTTTCTTCCTAGTAGCTGGTAGGGTGCTATGTTTTGGCTTAGGATGAGAAGAGTGCTGATAACACCCCAATGTTTTAAGTGTTGCAGAGCAGTGCTTACACCAAGCCAAGGACTTTTCAGCTCCTTGCTCTGTCCTGCCAGCAGGCAGGCTGGGGGTAAAGCAAGAGCTGGGAGGGGACAGACCCAGGACAGGTGACCTAAAGTGGCCAAAGGGGTATCCCATCCCATCTGGGGTCATGCTAAACAATATATAGGGGTGGCTAGCCAGGGGAGGGGGGCTGGACTGCTCGGGGTTAGGCTGGGCATCGGTCAGCGGGTGGTGAGCAATTGCATTGTGCATCACTTGTTTGTACACATTAGTAGTAGTAGTACTATTATCATCGTTGTATTATTATTGTTATTATTATTGTTGTTATTATTATTTTCCTGTCTTAATAAACTGTCTTCATCTCAATTCACTTTCCCGTTTCTCTCCCCCATCCCAGAGAGGGAGGTGGGATTGTGAGCGAACGGCTATGTGGTGTTTAGCTGTTGGCAACGTTAAACCACGACAGCCTCATTTTTACTAGCTGATTCCAAAGTGTACACATTGGATTTCATTTTTTTTCTAATGTTTTGCAGGATATAATTTGGGATTACTGCACAGCACAGTCCCCTTAGTTTTGTTTTAAGAAAGCCCCTGTACCTCAGTGGGTTCCACTAAATATTGTACTTGGTTTCCTGCAGAGATTTGCATCTACACCTTGTTTTCTCTCCAGTCCTCTCCAAAGTAGTAGTGGGTTTTATGAGGCACATGTCCTTTTGCTAACTTGCACCCTTCTGACCTTGTAACAATCTCATTTTATTTTTAGGTAAAGCTTTAGGAAAGTCAACAGTAGTACCTGTGCCATACGAGAAGATTCAGAGAGACCAGTCTGCTGTGGTGGTGCAGGGCCTGCCTGAAGGACTTGCATTTAAACATCCAGCAAATTACGATGTTTCAACCCTGAAGTGGATTTTGGAAAACAAGTCAGGGATCTCATTTATCATCAAAAGGTTATTTGCTGCCTCCTCTTCTTAGTCTGTCCATTGAAGTTTTTGTACTTAAATTTGCATTCATTTTTTAATTAAATACATTGCAGCCTGTTTTGCTTGAGCAGAAGTGTTGCCTTTTTTTAATATACTCTGAAGTAAATACTGATGTCTTGGCTAAAGCTATGTGTTTTGTTTGTTTGTTTTTCCCTTTATTTCTATACAGGCCTTTCCTAGAGCCAAAGAAACATCTAGGTAAGTTAGTACTTATTCAGGTTCAAAAATAGCTTAGAATTTTACTTTCAAAAAGGCAACATCGTTTTCTCCAGTACTTGGCAGGATAGCAGTATAAATGCAGTATTTGGTCTTTTGGAGAAAGAGGCAAACTTCGTGGAAATTCCTAGGCTGTGAGTTGCCTCACTCGCTTTTGGAACTATAACCTTTTCCTTTATGCTTTCTGCTAGGAGCAACTAATTAGAGACAAATTTGTTCTATTGTGTTCTTTGTCCTTTTACTCAATTTAAATTTAATGTGAATTGGATAGTATCCTAGGGAAAAGAGAAATGAACTGATGAAAGGCTGTGCGTTGCATTTTTAGAAGATGCCTAGTCTTTGCTGTGCTCTGCATTCCAATATGTAGCTGATTTTGGCATTTATATCTCATTTTAAAAATTGATTTAATCTTCTGAAGTGGTTAGGTGTTGCAGTTTCTATGAAAGCCTATACGTTTTAAAAAATCTGAGCTAACGTAGTTCTTTAAGAACTCTGAAGATTCATTTCTAGCTTTGAAGAAGTCCCTTCCCCTGTTCCAGCTGTGAAATTATTTTGCTTTAGTTGCAAGAAGTGCATGTGAGGATTTGTTTTATGAAGAGGATAAAGCATGTTGTTTACCAGAATCTCTATAGGAATGTAGTCAAAAAAGAAAAGTTTCACTTTCTGATGTGTAACAGCTAGAAATTGAAGCTTGATTAGTAAAATCAGAAATGTGTTGCCTGTGCCTAGTAAGAAAACTAGAGAGTAGGGAATTACAGAGATTCCAGTAATTAAATATTTATATTGATAAAGCAAGGTAGGTTTCAGTGGGTAAGCAACTTCTTGAAAACATAACCCATTTGTGTAGCTGTAATTTAGGAATAAACTGGAATTTCTATAAAACCATCCTCCTCCTTTTAGCAGTTTAGATGAAGGATTTGCTTAGCTTTGTTTCCCAAGATTTTCACTTCAAATCATGAAAGAGAGCACTGAAAAGCATACTGATAGGCACATTTGAAGTAATTTTATATTGGTGTTAAATGCAGTTTAATGAGATCCATCCTTCATATCTGTGTACAGAGAACATACGCACATACCTGCCAAATTTGAACAGGTTTTTGCTTCGTGAAATCAATGTTACGTTTTCAATTTGTGTTTAAGGTGAATGGAGAACAGGAAATTCAAAGGTTGTCTTTTAACTTTCAGGAGCTCATATGACAGATCCTTCACATTCAATTATACCTCCAGGTGGAAGGTGAATTTAAAATAATGTAGTTTTTTTGCCTGTCTTTAAATATTTCATCTACTGAGAAACAGACAAGCTTGTGTAGTATGATTTGATGTTGGTACCAACTGCGTGTTTTCATATAGTTTATCTTTCTCTTAATGTGCCTTCTCTGTCCAACTGACCTTTGGATAACTTTTGCTTGCATGGGATTATAAAAAGCATGAAGTTGAATTTTCTCTTTCTTTTGACCATTATTTGTGGGGAAGCTGTTACGAATTAAACAGATGGCAAAGTTTCCCCTCAGTTTAATTAGCCCAGCGAGTGTTCTTAATTCACGGTCTGTCAGTCAGGGATGTTTGTCCTGTTGTGTGCTGCAGCAGTGATGGGGAACAGCTGTAATGCTCCTGCCTTCCCCTCCTCAATTAAAAACCCAGTACATATATATTTATTCTTCAATGAAGAGATTATATGTGGAATAAATCAAAAATTGGTTAATGTGGAAACAGAGCAAAATGGCAGTTGTTTCTGTGGCTCTGAGTGCACTTTTTGTTAAATGGTGAACGCTCCTGAATATTGTGCACATCCTGAGAATGCAGGGATGGGAGATTCCTCCCCGTTCCCTAAAGATAATTCAGATAAGCCAAGATGCAAAGCTTTTTACTTCTGTTTTTCTAGTTTGAAAACAATACAGTGAGGTTGATTTTACTAGACAGCTTGTAAAGCTGAAGGAACTTTCTAGAAATGTGATATATTTTTTTTATAATGTCAGTATTTGTTTTGTTTATTTTTATAGTTGTCCTCCTATTCAAGTGAAAACGGAACCAAATGAGGATTCTGGTATGTTCAAAATTTTGTCCTCATTTGCAAAAAATGATGAATCAGTTTCTGTTCAGAAGGTTCTATTAAGGAATGATAGGAAAATCCAATAAAAGCAGCAAAGAGCCATCACATGTGAGAAAGAAAAGCTTTACTTAAAAATGGCCACTTTTCAGTTGCAGTTTTTATATGTATTTTTATTTATTTATTTATTTACCTTGGCTAGAGGTTTCCATTTCTAGATGGAGGAGATTTGTAACTTTTTGTAGACTAAAATAATTTCTTTGTAAATAGTTTACTTGGAAGTGGAAAAGAGGAAGATCCTCAGGTCTTTACTTAGTCCTAATTCAAGATAATTTTATCCCTAATGAGAAGAGAAAAACTTAGTTTATATACAATAATATTACCAGAATATCAAAAATGATAGAATGCTGAATGCCGTTTTCTAGCTAAGATGGAAATAAATAGCAAAGCATGTTATTTATTGTTTTTAAAAACTAAAATCAAGCAATCTTAAGTTCCCCTGCTCTTAGGACAGGCTGCTGCAAGGCAGAGTGGTTGGTAGCAGGGCAGTGCTGAAGTGTGTGCTTTGAGATAACCACGAATGATCCCAGGGAGGCCTGCAGATAAGCTTGTGACCTTCTGCTTTGTTAGGTTGGGCTGCACTGCTTGGCATTTTGCACAAAACCAAGATTTTTTGTTTAGTCCGGTATTTTGGTTTAGTTCTGTTTGCTTCATAACTTTAAGCTTGGCGTTTAGTAACCCTTAATGGTTAATATTTAGCTTAACACAACTGAAGAGTCAACTTGAGCTTTTCACCAGCTTCTTTCCAGTGCTGCTTTCAAGACATTTGAAGTAATTCTTTTGCCCCAGTGTGTTGAAAGCATTTTAGGGAACGGGGGAAGGCATACAGGGGAAATAGTTCACTTTGATAAAGCCAAGAGCAGTTGAGGCCTGTCATTGTTGCTGCCTTGAGCAGCAAAATTTGGACTTTATCTGAAACTAGGGATACAGAGGGGTGAGATTGGAGTAGGTCTAGAAGTACTTGAATCACTTTTAGCACAAGAGATTAAAAAAACTTTTTTTTTTTTTTTCTGCTGGTAGTGGGCAAAAAGCAAGGAGACCATTATTTTTAATTCTTCAGATCTTAGATAGCAATTTGCAGGGATGCCTGTTTGTAGGGAAGCCTTTCATACTCAGTCACTTCTTATACTAACCACCCAGACACAAGAAACTTGAAGCATCAGCATGTCATTTGTTACTGTTATTTTAGCTCAACAATTATTTTCTGTGTCAGTACTTGAATTTTCTTTTTCTTTTTTTTTTTTTTTTTTTGGACTAAAGACCAGCTAGAATCTTGGTGTTGTTGTGATTTTTTTTTTTAATTTCTTTATTATTTTTTAAGAATTTGGTTACCATTAGTCTCCTTATTTGATTCCTTTGTTGCTTCTGCAGGAATTTCACTGGAAATGTCAACAGTAACAGTAAAGGAGGAGTCAGAGGATCCTGACTACTATCAGTATAATATTCCAGGTAATGATGCTAACTTTTGTACCTGCTTATCTCCTGAATGGGTGGATTGCTTAAGTCTTGCTCTCTCTGTACCTCTCTTTTTGCTTAGTGGCGGCTGTTAAACATGTAACTGCTTACTTAGCTCTGTTAGGATACAGCATTTCCATGCTGGATTCCATTTAAGTTGTGCTTCAGGTCTTCCAGTATTCTTCACTACAATGTTGGCACAACAATATAAGTGTGTTTGGGGCTTAAGGAGAAATTTCAGGTGTTTCTTTGTTTTCATCCTGAGAGTCCAGTATGCAGGAAAGAAAATGTCATGTTACTGGTCAGAGCACTTCTTGGATCTTTACAGTTTCAGTAAATTATATAGTGTATCAATCACTTTCCTTGTATGGAAGGACCAATATGTGTCAAAAATGTTTTGGATGTTACAAGACGGATTTCTGTTGACAAAGAATAGCAACATTTACCAGGTCCATGACTCAGCTTCAAAACTGTGTGTTTTTAAATCTTTCTCAGCTGCTTTGCCTCATCTGTACACATCTAGTTGAAATACTGCACATTAATCTCAGCCAGGAGTGAATAGAGAAAATCATAAGAAATTATTTCTGTAGCTTGAAATAAACAGTAAGAAAGAAGACCTAAATAGAAATGGCAATATAAAAGAAGTAGAACCCTGAATGTATTATTTCAGCTTGCTTGCATCTTCTGTTAGGTTAATTGTCTGAGCAATACAAAAAAAAAAACAACACAGGAAAGCTGTCATGCCTCTCTGAAGGATAACTGTATGTTCAACAGCAAAGGGCAAAACAGCACATCCTTTCTTTTTGTAATAATATTTATTATTGAGACAGCATTTTTGTGTGTTTAGACACAAAAATTCTTGAGATTATTTTAATACGTGTTTTAATTACTAATTACAGGATTGCAGAATCAGTGTTCTCTTATTGGCATGTCTTAAGTAATGTAGGAACAAACATTGTTCAGAATGATCTTCACCATATGGTGTACCAAAATATCGCTACTCTGGTGCGGAATCTGAAAGGTGAATTCTCTGGGGTTAGGATTATCTTTTCTTTGTGTTTGTAAATCGCCTCGCCTCAGAGGTCCGTGGGTTTACAGGCATTATATAATGCAATAATAATAGATGCCTTTTTGGAGACATCCTAATCACTGTTACTTCCAAAGCCAAGCCCTGTCATCTCTTTTGCTTTTCATCCCCTTGTGGCTTTCCATTTCATGCATAAAAACAATGTCAGAATTTGGCCAGTAGCCTGGAGTGTAATCCGACCCTGTTTGAGGAGCGTCTGTGCTGAAACCACTTACTTACAGCACAGTAACCCATTGTCGTGCAGCATGCTGGAACTAAAAAATTCCATTTGTACAGTACGGTTCCATAGCAAAGCCTAAGCAAAGTGGGTTTCTTGGGGGATTTCTCTTGTCTTTCCCTACCTATCTCTAAATTTAATCATTCTGATTGGTGGAAAGTAATATGCTTTTTTTTTCGGATAGCCACATAACATCATACCTGCTCAGTTAATAAATCCCTCTAACCTCGCTTCCAATCTCACATTTAAAATGAGACTAAACAGAAGGTGCTGTTAGAAAGGATGGGGGTGCTGTGAGGCAGGAGAGGTATTACGGTGTCATGTTGTCACCTTCCCCTGAAGGAAAGGAGCTTCCCCTTTGTTTCTTTGAACTCTAAGGTTTGAAACAGAAGTTGTACAAAAAATGCAGAAGGATATAAATTCAAGAGGGATGTAGGGGCTCAAGTGTGCATGAAGATGCTGTGCAAAGAAGTAAACCTAATAAAAGTACAGTTATAGTAAGGAGTGTCTTTGAAGGACGGGGTCTGGCTGCCCACCATTTCCTTTGTAGACACATGCTGCAGAAAGAAAGGGAAACGGCTAGGGTCATAGTTGTTACTAAAAATACCCTCCAGCAAGAGCTGGCTTTATCGATTTATGAGAACAAACAACTTCACTGTTAGAGAACAGCAATGTGCCAGGGGCCTCCTGGAGAATATGATTTCCTGGTGAAATTTCACAGTTATTGTTTTTCTCTGAGTGTCTGCTTCCTCTCACAAACCCAGGATGCTCACCAAAGGCCTGCGTGCCTTAGTGGCATGCACAAATCGCCAGTTAATCAAAGGGGGCAAAGTTAGAGCTGGGGATGGGCGCTCTCTTCATCTCTTATCATCTGCTAATCCCTTGCAGCATTTGGATGCTGCCGTGAGTTAATACTGAATTACTAAATTTAGAGATGTGTTAGCAGCACACAGTACGAAGAGTAGGAAATGGGAACTTCCCACCAGAGATTTCATGTGGGTGTTCTGATCGGGTATGGGGGCAGTTTTCCATCGGTAGGCAGTAGCAGTGTGGCAGTGGGTGATTTGGTTCCAGTATCTTGGACAAATGTGAAGGTCACTGCAGTATTAAATGCTTTGTCTGACATCAGAGACAAACTGTTTTGGGAGAAAGGTCCAGATTTTGACTGACTATATGAGGAAAAGGATAGTAAAAAAAAAAATTCAGGACTAAATAAAGCATGTGGAAGCATTCCAAATATAACATTTCTGTATATACCTGATCTGTAAGTACCATTTTTTAAGGCTCTTCTGAAAGGAGATGTTAGTTAAAATGCTGTTCTTAGTTTGGTGTCCTTGAAACAAGTACATACATCGGTGTCCATGCCCATTTCCTTGTGTTCAGGAGGCTGTTTAGCTGATGTGTAAACGTATTGGTCAGTAAAAAGCCCAGAGCTTTTACTAGAAGACTATCCACAAGATCCAAGCTGTCTGGAAAGGTTTTAATTGAAAAGAATGAGGTCAAGATACTGCCAGTGCCAAAAGGAGAACAGCTCTGAAGCAATTAAGAGAACAGAATCGAGCTATCCATCTTTTTTTTTTTTTTTTTCAATTTCCAAAGAAGCAGGGATATAGTAAGAAAATTACTCGGGAACACATGCTCTTCATCAGCACAGACTGGAACAAGGGTTTTTGGAGACGTGGCCCTTACAGCACTGAGCAATTTGCTGACTAAGTACCAAGCACTTCATGACAGAAGCGTGATATCCAATGGATTTTATGGATGCAAGTCTTCAGGGGCCTTGAAGTTCGTAGGATCACAGAACGGTTTGGGTTGGAAGGGACCTTCAAGCCCACCTAATTCCAGCCCCTGCCATGGGCAGGACACCTCCCAGTAGGGCAGTTTGCTCAAAGCCCCATCCAGCCTGGCTTTGGAAAGTGAAAGCATAGAGAACAAGAAGCAGCAGAAGGCTCACAAAAGACCTAGATTTAGTCTGAGTGTTAAAGAATTCGTAAGCCTCTGTGTTGCACAGGAGAGTTGCTGTTAGCTGGTAACTGTGCTTGGCACTTCTTCTGATGTAAGGCGATACTGCATGGCTCTGTCTACAAATCGGATAGATCAGGCTCCTAGGACTTTATTGCAGGATTTTACTTCTAGTGTAACTGCTTCCTGGGGTGTTAGCAATTAAGTTTTGCACCTTTGTGATCATCCTTCCTCCACTCTCCTTGTGGCACTGGAATTAAATTCTTACCTCACGAGTTTTCTTCTTTATTCATTTTTGTGATTTTCTTCCTACTTCTCTTCCTAGATGGAACTCTTTTTGATCTTATTATCACCCTACTTGGTTTTGGCTATTCTAGCGATGGGAAAAGCTCTTCAAGTTCCATGAAATAATCTGTGTTAGTCACTTAAAAAAAAAAAAAGAGTTACAGAATAAACACAAAAATATATGCTTTTGTCTGTAATGGGATGCATGCTTTTGTGCTGGTGCACTATAAAATACAACAATTGCATATTCCAGAAGAACTCTTAGGAAGTGTCGCACCTGTCTGCCTGCATACACTAACTGTTTGGTGAAATAAAAGCAAATTTAGGCCATGAAGACATATTCTAGCAAGTCCAGTGAGTGCACGCGCTATTCCTGCTCCCCCTTAACAGTTGCAAGTCCCACTCTTTTGATGAGAATTTCTTGTCCTGTGTCTTAGAGCACCAGCAGTGTACTCCAGCTTTTTTTTTTTCATTTCATGTTGTAGTATTTAATATTGTATATGTACTTTTAGTAGACTGAAATATTCATCGTCTGGTTGTGGCAGCAGTCTTTTCTAGCTTTTCTCACCGTGTGGATGAAATAGAGTTTAAAATAGTTCACTTGCCTTGTGAGTTAACAGTAGCCTTTCCTGTTAAACTATTAATGTTGATTGCAGGTATCCTTTTAGACCTCCCTCTAAATGGCCACCATTTCTGGGGGGCTGTGTGATGTTCTGCAGACCGTATTTGCAAATGAATGCAGAAGTGATTCAGTTTATGAGAACAATTATTCCAAATCCTTCCAGTTAGTCCTGGGATGGTATTCCTGTCTGCCACACCTAGGCTAGTTTTATACACCCGTGCTGTTTCTGAGGTAGGAAATGATCTCTTGCTCAGTTGGTGGGGCTCTCTTGCAGTCTGGCTGCTGTAGTGCCAAAGCATTCAGCAGTGGGGGTTTGGTGGTGGTAATTTTACTTTCCGGGCTTCTGCAGCAGCCTTTGTAAAGCAGTCCATACATGGAGTCAAAAGAGCTGTTGTGGTTAAAAGCAGGCAAACTTGTGGTGCTGTAAATGTTTTCAACCTTTCTGATTTTGTCTATTTAACGTAGGTAGGAATTTTAGAGTCAGAAAGGATTTGCTGGGGAAATAAATTTTGACTCACAGGAAAAAGACTGAGCTAATTAAAAGATAATTGAAAAAATCAAAACCATCAGTGTTTGATGTTTTAAAATTAGTTTAGTTTATTAACACAAATACAAAAATTCAAAACCTGCTTTTCTACGTGAGTCTTTCTGCCTGTTTAGTAGTGCAGGAAATGCAAGCACCTTCCATTAGCCCCTCAAATTTGTATTTTGCTAAATTGAACAAGTAAAGACTTACAGGTTGTTGTTATTTCACAGACTTTTTCCTAAGTTAACTTTACAAAAAGTATGAAATGAGCATATGATATGTGAAGATAAGAGTTATTTGGTAAATTCCTCTATGGACTGGGAAAATGTGTTTGTTGTGACAGACAATTTAAAAGGCATTCTCTTTGTTCCCAAGCAGGCCCTTCTGAAACATCAGAGATGGATGAAAAAATTGCTCTTGCAAAAAGTTACACAGGTAGGTCTTATAGTTCTAGTTTTTTCCTTACATCCATTTTGTGAGTTTATTGTGTGAGTTTTGCTTTCCAGGGCTCTGCCTCTTTGATTTGAAGAGTTAGGGTGTTGAAATTTAAATTTTAAAACATAATTGAAATTTTCAGGTGCCTTAATTTTCAGGTATCCAAATAAAGAGACATACAAAAAGGAATCTTATTTCTTTTATTTCTTTTCTAAAATCGAAAAGGAGCATCAGATTGATCACTGTAAAGCAGTAGTAATTTATAAGCGCAAGTGTATGTTTCTCATGAAATTCAGTCTGTTTCATAATTAGTTACAAAATTCAGTGAGCCTCTGCTTATGTATTGTGAATAGAACTTGATCATTTCTTTCATTTAGCTGGGTGTGAAGTGAGCAGACACATAGGCAACCAAGCATACGGAAAGTTTGTGTTTAGGGGAAGCAGTTCCTTGCTGACTCTCAACAATATCTGAATTGAATTTACCTATTCTTTTTTCCCAGCTTTTCCAGTTTGAATTAAAAATACTGTTTTGCCCATTTTCTGACGTTAGAAAAAACTAACCTGTGTTTCAAGCTATGACATTCATTATATGGTCAGAGTGGTTGTGCTGTTGTCAATTTTTAAGATTCAGAAGTTGAGTCTTTAGGTTTTCATATGAACGTTATAATTCTGGATTTTTGGCTTCTGAAAATCCTTGCTTTGAATACTCAGTGTTTAAAAAAAAAAAAAGTTTTTTTTTGTATGTTTGTTATGCTATGTTTTTGCTTTATATTTGTCTAAAGGAAGCCACCAGGGTTCAGTTTGCAGTGAAGGAACAGATGTGGAAATACTGGTAGAAGGTTAGAGATATGAAATGTTTTTGAAGAAAATAAATAACATCATTGGATTTTTCTTTTTATGGAAATACTTGAAAAGATGGCACTTTAATTAAAGCTGTACCTCTTCTCCAGCCATTCTCTTTTTTTCTATTTTTTTAGTCTCATAAACCTTGCCACTCTGTGGCTTACTATAGGCAAGCTGGGATGGAGTTGTCATTCTTGTGAATGATAAATTGCATTTGTGAGGTGCCTGTCACCTCACCCACCATTTAATGCTTTGACGTGACGTTAAGAGTACACCATTCTGCAGCTAGTTTCATTCTAAGCACCTGGCCCTTGAACCTGAGGCATGATTTTTTTTGGACGTTTAGGCCAAGTTGTGCTAGCAGCAGTGCTCGTTCTTACAAATCTCATTATTTTTGCTTTGAAGATAAGTGTCACCATAGTTAAGGGTACCACTACATGAAATTCAAAAGCATTTCTCTTGGTGAAGGAGAATAAAATTTTTGGCTCTTGCTGACTTCACAACTAGCGCTACGTTTTTGGAAAAGAAATTAAAAAATCTAGGTGCTTTGTTTTCCTAAGCGTAATGCCATCAGCCATTGTGTCTGGTTATGAAGAGAGAGCCTGAGGGAAGTGTTCTATAAAATGACCGAAACTCTTGACTTAGCTTTGGTTTTGCTTCTGTAGAATAGCTGTAGATGCTGAGTGTGGCCCTTTGTGTTTTTTCCTACATCCTTTCCTCAAATCTGTTCTGCTTTGCAAGCTTCTGTAAAAAGATATGCTGAAAGTTACACCCTGATTTTGCTACATAGAATAAATCTGTTGTTTGTGAGGGTTGGTGTTTATCAGCAGATATGTGGGCAGTTACAAAAATTGCACCTAACGACTTAGTTTTGTCCAACTTTAATTTTAGTCCAACTCAGTTTTCGTTTTTCCTTTAATAGGCATGCAGTGTAGACAGTCTTGCCTGGATTCTGTAAAATAAAAATAAATGTTTATGTCTGCTCCTCACAAACAGGAGTAAGGAATTAAAATCAATGAATGTGCTCGGATTTCATGAAGTCTTTGACAAATACCCTGCCGGCTATTACTAAAGAAATGTAGATAATAGGCATTGGAAGTTCTTCCAAAAGTTGCCCTGACAATTGGGCCGTGATGTAGCAGATGTGCAGAAGGTACTGCTTTCTGCATAGCAAAAAAAAAATGGATGCATGTATAAAAGTATCTTTTGGTGTCTGTCACCAGTGGTTTTCACGTTTTTTTTCCTCCAGTAGCCTTGACAAGATGGTGAACGAGGAAGTGATAAAATTACTTTGAGCGTGGAATTGCCCAGATTAGCTGTGGCTGATAAAGGCTTGTGAGGTCTCAGTAAGGCTGCATGAGCGTGGTGCAGTTGAAATTCAGAAAGTCAAGGTTATGTGCATCAGAAGAAATGTTCTAAACCAAATGAAATCACATTTGGGGAACTGGAGACAGTGTCAGACAATGATGACATGTAGAACTATAAAGAAGGCTGCTGCTTAGCAGCTGTGTGCATTTACCTTATTACCTGATGCAAAGAAGTACTTAGCAAAAAAATACCTAGTGGTGATAATAGGCTGGATAGGCTGCACCGATGGGCTGAGGTCAACTGTATGAAGTTTAACAAGGCCAAGTGCCGGGTCCTGCACCTGGGGCGCAATAACCCCAAGAAGAGCTACAGGCTGGGAGAGGAATGGCTGGAGAGCTGCCAGGCAGAGAAGGACCTGGGAGTGATGGTGGACAGTCGGCTGAATATGAGCCAGCAGTGTGCTCAGGTGGCCAAGAAGGCCAACGGCATCCTGGCTTGTATCAGAAACACTGTGACCAGCAGGGCTAGGGAGGTGATCGTCCCCCTGTACTCGGCTCTGGTGAGGCCGCACCTCGAGTACTGTGTTCAGTTCTGGGCCCCTCGCTACAAGAAGGACATGGAGGTGCTTGAGCGGGTCCAGAGAAGGGCGACGAAGCTGGTGAGGGGCCTGGAGAGCAAGTCCTATGAGGAGCGGCTGAAGGAGCTGGGCTTGTTCAGCCTAGAGAAAAGGAGGCTCAGGGGTGACCTTATCACTCTGTATAAGTATATTAAAGGAGGCTCTAGCGAGATGGGGGTTGGCCTGTTCTCCCATGTGCCTGGTGACAGGACGAGGGGGAATGGGCTAAAGTTGCGCCAGGGGAGTTTTAGGTTAGATGTTAGGAAGAATTTCTTTACTGAAAGGGTTGTTAGACATTGGAACAGGCTGCCCAGGGAGGTGGTTGAGTCACCATCCCTGGAAGTCTTCAAAAGACGTTTAGATGTAGAACTTAGGGATATGGTTTAGTGGGGACTGTTAGTGTTAGGTCAGAGGTTGGACTCGATGATCTTGAGGTCTCTTCCAACCTAGAGATTCTGTGATTCTGTGATTCTGTGATTCTGTGATAATACTTTGCTTTAAAAAATACTTCAGTGTTTAAACCAGTTGGTTTAATGTGGTTTAAGAAGAAACATCTGCTCTGGGAGTTTCCTTCCAGAGTTTTGTTACGATCTGGTTTGATATTTTTGCATGTTTCTTTTAACTGGGACTAGTTCTGAGGGACTTGGTACTGCACTAAATGGCCCATTTTCAGTCTTCCTGGTTGTTCATAAACTTCCACAAAATTTACCACAGTTGTATTTCTTTTTCAAATGTGTGTATATATGTATGTGTATATAAGATTCTACGTGATCAATTGACATGATACTTATTTTTATGATGATACTTCATGTTCACACGTACTAAAAGACCATTGCTTATTAATTCATTCTGTTTGTTGTGGTTTGCATTTGCTCGTTACCTACCAAGCACTCAGTCTGAGTTAGATCAAAATGCCATAGTGTGTTTTCCATGAACCTGATGATAGCTGACACAGTTTGAATGTACTCCAGCTGTGGTACGTCACTAGGTATTTCTGAATCTCTGCCATAGGTGGCATCATGTGAAGAGCAGTGAAAAGGGGACATTCCTTCAGACTTGCCCCCCAAGTGATATACAGGTGATAGAGCTCAGAGAAACCTGAAAGAAGACATTCTTCAAAGTGTACAAACACAGAACTGTTTGAATATATTGCCAGAATAATTATTTTCCTTCATACACTACTACTTAATTTTGAAACAGTTTCCAATATAATTGGCTTCACTTTTTTAAACTTTATTGGAGTTAAATTCAAATTGCTTTCTCCTACAGGGTGTTGATAGGCCTAATCCTGTTTATTATATTGGTGCAGGCTGCCCTAACACAAGCATTGTGATTATGCATTTCCCTTTCATTTTTCACTGTTGGCCTTGCAGCCTGTCAGGGAAATCATTGCAGAGCAACAACTATAAGTCTGTATAAATGATAAAGAAATATATCATCTGTAGGGGCACACAGCCTTTGTTTATGTATTCAGTAATCCTTGATAACAAAGAGAAAAATATTTATGACTCTATTAATCCTATTAAGCCAAGAATAAAGAATTTCCTACTGTCATTAATGCCAACTCTCTGCACTGCTGCACACGCAATTTAGCATGTATAATCCCTACCTTCTTACCCATGTCTAGAGTTGCTTAAAGGCTTAGGGTAAGATATCATTGCTTCTGTTTTTGTTGCACATTGTGAATGCAAAATGTTTTGTTGAGACAGAGAGCTTCTTTGACAGGTGTTAGTTAAAATACAAAATCATTGAGCATTTGCTTAAAAATCCTTTCTGTGCCAGTCGTTCACCAGTTGTGTTTCTGTCCCTTCAGATTCTTCCCAGCACGCCCCTTCAGAAACAAGTGAGGATCCTGAGGTCGAGGTCACCATCGAAGGTTAGTTATCCGGTTCCTTTATTTCAGTCCATTGGACATTTTTAGGTCAAAAAAAATGCTGTACCCATGCCTGTATTAGCACTGAATAAATAGGATTATGAACCAGCCTTTGGCTGCAGTTTGCACTGTGCTCTGCTTTTAAACATCCCTATTCCAGTTGTTTCATAAGAAAAACTACAGCATGCTGAATCATATTGGACTTCCTGGGCCAGTCTGGAAATAATGCCTGATAGAGGTGTGTTTTTCATATATTTTTCAAGTATTAATAATACAGAGTACTCATTATTTAACAGCCATTAATTTGGATTTTTAAAAGCTTTTATAATGTTCATTCTGAAGAGCATGTTCTTTTCTAAGCACATAGTAGTTATATCCAATTTCTAGTTACCCCTAGATTCTGGGAAGAATTGCACGATAGCAGAAGTGATGTTTTACAGTTGGTGTTAAGTGAAGCTTCAATTTACATGTCTGATACTGATAACTACGAGATAAAAACCTTTACATTTACCATTTCCCTTTTTCATCAGCAGTATAGCTGCAATGAAAATAGTACTAAAGCCACTAACCAGTATCCAAGTTTCTTTCATGGTAGGGTTTTGGTTGGAAGTGAGCTGTATTTCTTATGAGTTACATGTTCTGTAATTGCATTAAAACACTTCTCAGATTGACTTTGGCATTGCTTGCTTTTGGAATAGGTAAAATGAAGACCACCAGATTAGCAATTTAGAAATTAGGCAATGCATTTTAGGAGAGAGTTCTTGCTTGTTGGGATTACTTTTATCTTTTTATAATATGGGAATGAGAAAATTCTTACATTACTTTAACGAAAGAGGTAGGTAGAATAGTCGCTAAATTCTGTGTCTATGTAAATGCCTTTACCACAAAGTAATACAACTGTATAGGTGCAAGAGATGCCAGCATGTAATGTTATACTTCCTAAGTCAACTATGTGCCTGGTGACCTGGGCATGAGCTATTCTGGATGGGAAATGAACATCTTTGTCTGATGTAACCATTTATTTTGTCTAAGAACGGAAGTACTGGTGATTGATCAGTTTTCTTAAAGTCGTGAATTAGCAGAGAACCTAGTATTTTGGATTGGGAACTAACTGGCTGAGTAGCACCTCACTAAAAATGACTCTGAGGGTTGCAGGTCTGCACTCCACCTACTCGTATATGTTTGAGATAGGGTAGACCTTCTGTTAGATGAATTTCAGTTAAGTACCTCGGTTGCATGTTGATCTGAAATTATTTTTAGCACCTTTGAGCTCTTCAAGATCAAACTTAGGTATTGTGTTTCAAGACTTACTAGTGGAAGGTTACTTACAATTAGATACAAAATCTTATCTGTCTACACAATATATTTCCTGTTTTAACTTGCTCATTTTATGATCATGATATGACTAATTGCATTTCAGAACACAATATTGTTTTCCTTGGGAAGTGCAAAAGAAGCCTTGATTTTTTGCTTTGTTCTGCTTTGTGCTCGTGTGCTTCACACAGGTTGTTCTTACACAGGCCAGTAGCTTTCTAAAGTTACTCAGATCAGTTATTTGTTGCAAAATTTGAAGCTCTTATCAATGATCGATGCTTGCAGAACTTGAAATTCAAACAGTTCCAACATTGCTTGTCAGTTTTCTGAGTGTTAAAACAGTGGTATCTTCATGTTTCTTTCAGATGATGAAGACTACTCGCCCCCTAACAAGAAACCGAAAAACACTGAGTCAGCAAATGAAACTGCCAATACTGGGAGAAGAAAAGTGAGAGAATTCAATTTTGGTAAGATAGAAATTAAAGGTTATTTCTTCTCTCAGTTTTGCTTTGTAAAAAGGTATTAGATACTTTCATAGTGGCAGAATGAGACACACCCGTGCATATATTCATTTGAGAGCCCAGGGCTATTTGTAGATGTATTGCAGCAGTATAAACATCTTTAGGCTACCTCTGTTGATTTTCATTAGTCAAAGTGACCACCAAATATAGACACTGCAAATAATTTAATAAAAATAACTCCAGATCTTTATCAGCTGATTTCTTGGGCAAGAAAATCAGACCAAATTCACTAGTGTACTCAGCTATGGCAGGCTTTAGATCAGGAGCCTGTCTAGCTGGACTTTCTTGATACGTGGTGTGAACAATGAAGATGTGCTGAGACGAGCCACTCTTGAGAAAGCAACCAGTGACTCCATTATGCTGAGTAGCATGCCTTCATCCTTGTGGATATACAAAAAGTTGAGGTGGGTTTGGTAGTGTTCTTCCATGATACCTTATGTAGAGTCCTTACTGTAGAAAGACATCCACACTGCAGTTTCTTCTGCTGTAAGGTACTTCCCGTGTGATTTGTCACAGTCCTCTACCTCTTCCTTTATTTTCTTGATTTGGGTTGGTATCTGGGCAGATATCCCTTGAGTCTGTATACTTCTGTAAGGTTCTGCACAATCAGGAATATGCCATTTGGCACAGTGTTTAAGATGATGATTAGGAATGCTGGGATTTGGGGTCAATTGGGAAATCTCCATAGAATCTCTTGCGACATCTGTTTTGTGTGAAACATGCTATTTCATGCTAATTTCAGTGAAAATGGGAAAAAAAAAAAAAAGAAAAGAGCTGTATTCTCAAAAGATCATTGATGTGAATAGGCAATTCCACATGTAGTGTCAGTTAGTTTTGGTTGGATCAGGAGAACACAGTGGCAAAGTTCGAGAAGAAAATTGAGCAGCTAATACCACAGAAGCTTTTGCTAGAATATATTCCCTTAGTAGAAAACAGCATCTAAGCTTGGCAGGCCAGCAGTATTTGAAAAGAATAAACAGTGAGGTTGACTAGACATGGAGAGCAAAGGTAGAAAAATATTTGGGTGATAAAAGCTTGAGTGGACCTTGCATTGTTGGAACACCACAGAATGAACGTGGGAAGCTTTGGAGGAATAGACTGCTGAATACAGACTTGCTACACTGAAAAAAGGAGCAACTGTTGGTGGTTTTAGTGCTGGCATTTGGACATCTCAGAGGATTTTGCATCTTTGTCTAATGAAGTCTCAGACAATTCAGTTGGACAGGAGGAGGGTGGTGTTTAATTACACCATGAGTAGCTGCAGAATGACAATGGCATGTGCACTCAGCAGACTGGGAAGGAGGTACAGATGCTTGAGAGAGTAGTCTGTCTTATCTGATCAGGGCTTTCAGTATTTTACATAACATTGATGAGTTCCAGATGTCTGATAACTGTGAGCTGGAGACATTTCCTGTATGTCTTGATTGAGCCAGAGATCAGGTACCCCAAGAGGCCAGAGAAGCAGGGTGAATGATTTGCTGTGCTCTTGGTTTCATGCAAACAGGAAGCTGGTGGAAAACAAGATAATTGTAACCAGAGGGAGGATGAAAAGTGTCTGGTAAGATGCTTGGTGGAAATTGATGATCTTTAGGAAGGAAGGTTGGATTTCAAAAATATTTCTGAACCAACCACTAAAAGTTAAAAATATCTTTGCTGAAAGGAACTGTCATTGTCAGTAAAAATATCTTCCCACAACATTTTTGCTTTCTGGGAGATTCAGTCAAAAGCTCAGAAGCTTAAAGACCCAAAACGTCAGTGCAGTTGTGTCATAGCATTTTAGGGGAAAAATAAGTCCCCGTAGCTGTTGTCTCAAGGTGATGTCTATGACACTGATGGAAACTGCGTGTAGCTCTTCCCCATGCTGACATGCTGTTGAATATGGATTTTCTTAGACTACAGCATGCTTCGGGTGGCTGCCTGTTGGCAATTTTATTTCTCCACGGCATGTTGATGGGAGTAGGAATATGCTCGGTATCTGAGTCTGATTTTGCGTGCACTGTGCGGGTTGCCCCCAGTCTGTTGGATGTTACCTGGAGCCTGTCTCCATGTAGCGGAGTGTGGGCTAAACTGAACAGACTGTGGGCAGGCTGGCGAAATTGTCAGGATTGTTATTTCCTTAGGGTGTTGTTCCAAGGTCTCAGAAGGTATTTACAGGGATAGAAGGAAACCACTACCTATCTAGGTAGCTGCAGAATACCTAAACTACTTGGCAGAGTGTTTACCAAACCAGAATGTGAGCTTAGATTTGAGGTAGGTCTTCAGCCTTCCTATGTGGGCATGAATTATGTGACAAAATGTTTCTACAGTAATTGGTCCAAATCCAAGGGGTTAATGATGCTGACAATTTGATTAAAAACAATGCCAGCTGTCTGATAGCCCTTCCGAATTTTGAAATGACTCTGCAGCCTAATATGGCAATTTACTCATAAAATACAAAAGTACCTAAAAGATCAGTGTGCTGATCAAAATGTGAGCCGGATGATATTTTTTTCAGTTGCTTATTTTTTCTGTATCCAGCATTCTGAGTAAGCATGCTCATATTGAAATATATTTGATTATTAATCTCTGTAAGGTTTATGTTGAAGAGAGAAAGGCATGGAGGTAGTTGATTGAAAAGATCCACATGGAATATTTGGACAGTGATTGTAGGATTTGATAACTGAAAAAAAAATGAACCCTTGACAACTTAATGGATCACGTAAGAGTTCTCTCTTGTGCGTGCTAATGAGCAAAGGGAGACAAGGCTGGATGGGAGCAGCCTCTCCTAATACTGCAGTAATAACCAATATTCAAAACAACATAATTTAAATACATGTATATAGCTGTTTTGTAATACGGCATTACATTCTTCCTGGCTGTTCTCCCTCTTAAGAAAACCAGACTGAATTTTAGAGTAGATCTTTTGCTGAGTCAGACTCAGACCTTGATGAACTTGAAGGGAGCTCAACTCTGTGACGGTTTCCCCCTGGGTTGCAATCTAGAGTTGTGTAAGTGCCTTTCAAAACCCTTGTCCTGGGACTGCCTGTGTGTGTTCACCAGCTCTGTGCAGTGGAGCAGGGTTTCACCTTCAGCCCAGTAAATTCAGTATGGTCAAAGTGACACTGGAGTAGAGAATATTGTGCTGGAGACATTTAACAGCTAAGAATCTGTGCACTACAGAGTAGCAGTAAAAAGGGCAGCAGAAGCAATTATGTCAATTTATCTACAATCATGCAATATTAAAATACAAACAGGTTAGTTTATGTAAATGATCTGCTAGATAACTAGAATAAAGAGTTTATATGGATGCAAGGCAGCATGCCAAAACAGTCTTTCCTTAGGTCTTATTCTTGCCCACATCTGAGGTATGCTGTCCTCTTGATGTCTACAAAATTACATTTAAAAACTTCAGGCTTAAAAATGGTGATCAAAGTTGTATACATTGGTCTGAGAACGAATATTTAAAATTCTTTTGATATGGACTCAAAATTCCTCCATTTCATCTGATAGAAGAGCTTTTTGACAACAGGAACTGTAGTAGGTTGAACGGCCTCATATTTTGACCCCTGCAGTTACTAGACTCAAATCTTTGGTGTAAAAAATAAGCTGCAGGTAAACTTGCTTATTAACTCATTTTTAAAGGCCAGCAAGCATCTGGTACCATCTACAAAAGACTTGTGGCATTAGAGATAGAGCATTAGAGATAGAAGCATAGAGATGATCCAAAAAAACTGTGAAAACGTGTGCTCTCTGTCACAGGCAGAAAATAAGATGTTAAAATATTGCCAATTAATCCAGTTCTCCAGGGAATACACAGTTGAAGTAGGATAACTTCTGCCTTGCAACCTGCATCTTCAGATCCCACTTCAGAAGTAGGAATTATGTGGATGTCTTGCAAAATCAGGATTTGGGGAATTGCTGGATTAAGGAAGAGGATGGCATGATGCCTCCTGATCCATATAGTTGTACAGATTGACACAAAAGATGATCATGTACTTGCTGTAAGCTTTATTAAGCTTTTCAGGCCCTGGCTTTGGACAGCTATCACCAGCAGCTCAAATTGACTTTTCCCCTGATGGTAGTGAGGGCTGCGTCAAAGAGAAACCAGTTTTGGACAGTCTTTAGCCTAGGTTATGTCCTTTTATGGTTTTTAAACTTGATTTTACATCTGCACAAGTTTGGGAGGCAATCTGAAACATTTTAATCTGTGCTTTTTCTTTCAGAATGTATCAATATATTTTGAGGTATAGGCTATACCATACTCCCCAGGCATCTGTGTGCAAGCGAGCAATAAAAACAGTTAGTAGTTAGAGATTTAACAAGATTCTCAGTTTCATCTGTGGTATGACATGTTCTCTTCTTTTCTTTGCAGAGAAATGGAATGCTCGAATTACAGACTTGAGAAAGCAAGTTGAAGAACTGTTTGAGAAAAAATATGGTATGTGTTATGCTCCTTTCCAAACAATTGCCTCTAGTCCTTTGACACTGGAAACCACAGCATTTTGGCATGCATCTTGTTCTCTCTGCACTAGACCAGGATTGACAGCATCAAAGGGTTAAATGTTAGAAGGCTTAAGACTGGGAGCAGGAGCTTTTTGATGAGCAGAGTAATTTTGAAATTGGGTGACTGTGTTTGGCATCTTGGTGCAAAACTTGATTTCATTTTTCAGTTGTGCTCAATTCCCTGGAGCTGCCGTGTGCTCATGTCTCAGGCACGCACATTTGAGAGAGTTGGCATTTTTCCTGTAATTACATTGAGTTCTTAAGTGAAATAATCTTAGGAAATGTCTTTGGGGAGAGGTTACCAATGATTGATTGTTGCTTTCTGATTGATTGATTTGCAGTGAAGCAGCAATTAGATTTTAGTGGTTCCTGGAGAAAAAAGAAACACGCGTGTTAGACTCTAGAATGTCTCCAGTTGTTGCACCTAGACATATTTTGTGACCACATGTCACAGAGTAAAACACCATTAGTAAAAATTTCAAAATATATAGTATAGTGGTGCTCCTCTGCCATTGGAAGCGGAGGCATCCTTGGAATGGAGCTTACAATATGTTAGAGCCATTAGATGTTTCAGGTGTGACTATAAGCTGACATTTAAATAGCCCCCTGAAAGCAACTCATACCAAATAAAAGCAGCTCAGAATCTGATTCACAGTATTTATTTATTTATTTCTCTTGAAAGGAGCATCATTGAATTCTGAGAATTGCTTTAATTTTGGTTTTGTTGTTTACACATAGCCAGTCTAGAAATCTATCTAGTCTATTGAAAGAGCTATTCCTGACTTTCTGTAGAAGGTCATACAGTATTAAACCACTCCCTTTTTCCCTGTGGATGACAACATATCGTTAATTCATAAACCAATTCCATATCTGATTCTAGTTCTTTCTAATTGTATAGGCATGCAATTTCCTATTTCCTGACATGAGTTATGGATGTCCAGAAATCTCAGAGTGCTTCTGTTGAAAATACATTAATTTTGGTGTTTAGATGTAAACTAATGTTATTACTTTTTATGGGGTAAATACAAAAGAGAATCTCACAAATATTGGCAAATTTATAAAAATGAAATCTATATCCGAAGAGATTTCTAAGCAAAAACTTGTAAATCCAAACAGAATCACAGAATCGTCTTGGTTGGAAGAGACCTCAATATCATCAAGTCCAACCTCTGACCTAACACTAACAAGTCCTCCACTAAACCATATCGCTAAGTTCAACATCTAAATGTCTTTTAAAGACCTCCATGGATGGTGACTCCACCACTTCGTCTCAGTGTAAACTGTATTGCTGATTGTGTTCCTTGTTTGAAGAGTATTTGCTAGAACATTTCCTGGTTTAGGTGAAATAGACTCTCACTTGTAAAAGCAAAAAAACAAAACAAAACAAAACAAAAAAAACTTTGTTAGGTATTTATTTAAATGGGATTTTTGTTACTCTGAAGCTCTGGAATGGTCTAGATTTTAGTGATGTACTTGATTTTTTCCCCCTGGCCAGTTGTTGTTCACAAACACTTCTTTCCATCTGAAACTCGGCTGCTGGATTTGTTACACTTTTTACTACTCACCACAACAGCCTCCAGGGCTGCAGGTTTTGTTTGAATTTCTTGGAAGAGGTATATGACTGCAATAAAAATCTACTTTAGTGAAGGACTAGTACGATACACAACAGCTCATTCGGTGATTGTCCTGTCTCTGACAGTCGTGTTTGGACAGGTTTTCTTAGTCTGTTTGCTAAGAGACATTTTCAAGTCTTGTCCTTCTCTTTGTACATATATATTCTGTCTCTAGTTTTGGCCGTGGTATACGTAGCAGTTGGAATCAGGTCTGGTTGAAACACAATTGTCACAGTTTTACCAATTTTTATATGTAATGCTCATCAGAATATAAGACAAAGATTCATACGGTATCTTCAAAGCTTCCCTTTTTAGAATCATAGAATCACAGAATCATCAAGGTCGGAAGAGACCTCCAAGATCATGTGGTCCAATACCCCCTACCACCAATGTCACCACTAAACCATGTCCCTAAGCACCACATCCAACCTTTCCTTGAACACCCCCAGGAACGGTGATTCCACTCACTGGGCAACCCATCCCAGTGCCTGGCTGTTCTTTCTGAGCAGAAATGTCTCATCATTTCCAGCCTGAACCTCCCCTGGCACAACCTGAGGCCATTCCCTCTGGCCCTATCACCAGTTATCTGAGGAGAGGCCGACCCCCAGCTCCCCACCCCTTCCTTTCTGGCAGTTGCAGAGAGCAATGAGGCCTCCCCTGAGCCTCCTCTTCCCCAGATCAAACACCCCCGGTGCCCTCAGCCGCTCCTCACAGGACTTGTGCTCCAGAACCTTCCCCAGCCTCATAGCCCTGCTCTGGACACGCTCTAAGGCCTCAGTGTCCTTGCAGTGTGGGGCCCAAAGCTGAACACAGCACTCGAGGTGCTTATGTGATGAACACACCTAGAACCAGTCTGTTTCCACATGGTGGAAAGGGTGTTATCCAAACACCTTTAAAACCTAAATTGTTTGGTTGCTTTTAAGAATCTGGGAGTTAACATGAGCATTTTGCATATACCAGTGTCTGAACCACTGGCTATTTGCCATGTGTGGCTTGAAGAACTGCCTCTAGTTTCAGAAATCGTGCCACATCGCTGTATTCTGGTTTGGCCTAACTCAGGTCACTTCACTTGGTGTTTAACATTGTGATTAGAGGTTAGACCTCATCTGGACTGTCCTTCAGTGCCTTGCAGAATGTCCAGTGTGAGAACATTTCTGTATGTGGGGTTTCACAGCGCAGGATCAGTACGGGGAGCACAGCCCATGCCTGCTCCTTGCCCGCGCTGGCTTCTCTCTGTAGGAGCCTGACCTGCCCCAAGAGCCGGGATAGCTGGAGGAGCTGAATTAGACACCTGGAATAAATTGCTGGAAACTTAGTTATGACCGCACTGTCCTTGTTAATTTAAAAATCCTTGAGAAGCTTTTTTATTGCTCCAGTTGGCTGAATATCTTGCAGTGCTGGTGAAATCAGTGCGCTCTCCTTGTGAGCTTTAAAGGCCGAATGCTGCCCCTCAGATCCATAATTGCATTCAACAAGTTGCATTGAGGGCACCTCTTTGATCTGTTAAAATATTTTCTTCCTCAAGTCATTTCTTGTATTTAATTTCCATAGCAAAACAACAGAACGTAGCACACTGTTTGCGGACCGGTCAGATGCTAATAGAGAATTCTTCTTGCATGGCCTACAAAATTAACTTACTCTTATGAGTCTAAAGAAATTAGCCCTCAGTATTTGCAAACCATCCTGCTGTTCTCCAAGGTTTGCCAGCATGATAGGTATATTAATGTGATTAAGGTCCTCATAACTTAAAGAAATACATTGATTTTTTTTTTCCTCCAGCTGTGTGTGAATCTGTTGTTTGCTTTTCAGTTGCTCCAAAGACATACTTTTCTGGGTGGTGTTAGAGGTGTACTGTTGAATTGATGGGTGATTTCTTGCATTTCTAAAACACACCAAAGCTTTAGGAATTCACTCAAAAGAATGGATATGTGCCCCCTCCCAGGCATCGATGACATTTGTAAACCATTAAACATAACAAATAATGGTAACGAGAGCTAATGAACTGAAACATGTTTGGTGTATAATTAAGTCTAGATAATTTCATATTTTAAATCATGTTTTTAAACAAAACTAAAATACTATGAAACTTCACTCTAACAAATGCGATGTCTTATTAAATGTTTACAGAGTAAATGCAAAAGAAGAAATCTGCATATGCATGCATATGTATGCAGGTCTCCACCTTCTCTGCTGTGACTTAGAGTCACTTGGGGGGGAACACAAATATGAATGTTTTCATGTTTAAAAGTGCTGAGAGGTTGATCGCCTGTCTACTAATTCTAATGATTTTCAGAGTGGTATCAATCTTGGATAGAGCCACAAGCTAGTCTAATGATTTGATTGTCCTTTTCTCTTAAAGCTCAAGCTATAAAAGCTAAAGGTCCGGTGTCTATCCCATACCCACTCTTCCAGTCACACGTGGAAGACCTGTATGTGGAAGGGCTGCCAGAAGGAATTCCCTTCCGAAGGCCATCCACGTACGGCATTCCCCGTCTTGAGAGGATACTTCTAGCGAAGGAGCGAATCCGGTTTGTGATTAAAAAGTAAGGAATTTGGCATTTTTGTCCCTTTTTTACGTGTTGGTTTCTTCAGGGTCTGCTCTACTTCATTTTATCTTCAACCAAACTGATTTCCACAGAGGCATTCTACTACCGCGCTGATGGGTATTTTTCATTTCAGATTGATTTGTTGATAAATTCAGCTTCTCACATCACCAGAGCACCACAGTGGTGACTAAGATCTGCATAGATCTCTTCAGCATTACAGACTTTTATCATATCATGGGCAGATCTCTTTGTAATAATTTAATCTCAATGGCTGTAATGTGTGTTGAAAGCCATTGACCTTGGCACATGTTAGGCTATCTGAGGATCCTGGCCTACATTTCAGCTTGTGCTTTTATTTGTCTCTTGCTGGAATGCTGTAATGTGTCTATGGTGTTATCCGTATATAGTATCACCCAGGACAGGCTTGAGGCCAAAACAGCAACAGGTTCTTATGATTTAGTTGCGTGTGTCCCTTTGGGGTTGTCTTGATCAGATAGCTGCTGTGAGGGGAGGCCTCAGATGTGCTTAGAGACTGTTTGCCTGCCCTATGGCCCTGGCAATGTATCGTCTGTCTTTAAAGTGAGGATGTGAGACATAGAAGATGTTCTGGGCTTCCTTCTTTCTCCTCATCTCTGGCCTCACTGTCTTTTCTAGAAGAACCCTGACATTACTTGCTAGAAAGACAGATGGGATTTGAAGGGAGCCTGAACCTAGTGTGAGTTCAGTATACACATGGAGAAACGGTAGAGATGCTGAGTGCTGGGTCTCAGAGCTGCAGAGCACTTCCAGATGTTAGCAATGTGGGTTCCACTTTGGTAGGCTGATCCGCAGATTTGGCAGCGTGTGGATATTTATCTTTTGCAATTTGTTGCTTCACTTTAGGCAGATGTGTTGTTTCACACCACAGATGGGCATTTACAGTTTAAATGAAGCTACTGTGAATAACAGCTGACATTTTTCTTTTGTGCAGGGGTGTAGGGCCTAATCCAAGAGCTTTTGAAGTGGATAGGAATCTGCTGATTGCAGTGGTTGGGCTCAGCATCAGTGGAAGTGACAGCCTTTGCCTGTGCATGCCACCTTTAGCACTGATGGTAGTTTTTGACATTTGAGAAGTTACATGTTCAGTTTCTGTCATCCTAAAGCTTGCAGATAATCAGAATAGAGGGAGAGGTGTACATCTACCTTTTGTCTCACCTAAAATCAGACACTATGCGTACATTTTAATATTAATGTAATACTAACACTGGCTCTTGTCAAATTTCTCTTAGTTGCTAACAATAACTCATTTATGTTGTTCATCAGTCTTGCAATCTATGGTAACGAGAATAGCTCAAAAACTAGTTCATCCCTGTGAGAGATGTCAGAATTTCAAAATTTGTCTTTATTCTAGTGTGGGTAAAACCAGATGTATTTGGAAAACAGAAATACCTGTTTTTATGTTTGTTTTTAATGGTTGAATTTTCAATTTGGATCTTTGTTTCTGGTGGTAGTTTGGCTGGGAAGTGCATTTAGACCCAGAGATAATTTTAGTGATATATATGTGTTACCACGAAATATTATGGCTCAGGTGAATATGAGTATCAGGAATGAAAAATGTTTTTGTCAGGATGGTTCCAACCAGTTTTTATAATATGTAGGTGTTAAGTGGAATTTAACATCATGAATCTTGACATCCCTTGTTTGTTGGTTGATTTCTTTTTTTTCTTTTGATCCTTCAGTGATAACTTGTACTTGGTAGTGTGTTTGCTACAGAGGCTGTAACTGTGGGCTCTAACTTCTGGTTTGTCAAAGTCTGTCACTGCTGAAGCATGTATCTTAAATCTCCTAGGCATGAGCTTTTGAATTCGACAAGAGAAGATGTACCCTTGGACAAACCAGTTGCAGGAGGTAGGTCTTCAAATGTGTGAGTTGAGTACAGGATGATTTCCTGTTTGTCTGTCAGTCTTAGTGGTGATTACCATCTGCTTTTACTAATAACACACTGCAAATAATTCCTGGTGTTTTGAATTTTTTTTTTATCTACAAAGAAATTGACAGCAATTTTCCAGTAAAATCTTTGGATCCTGGAAACACTTTGGAAATCTAGTAGTTTTTCCCCAATGTTTGTTATTTATTCAAGAGTACAATGCTTTTCTAAGTTAATATAATTAGACTTAGTATGATATAAAATATTTCTGATGATGCACTGTCCCAAAATTTATAAATTGGCACATGTTAATCAATACCATATGTAAAATATTAAATGTTTATGAGTGGGAACAGGCACGTTTCAGTACCCTGTAAAGTTCTTTGATCTGCTGTTTGGAAGTGTTATGTAAAAATTAGATGTTCCTTCTTTTTATTTTGAAAACAGGAATACAGCAAGGAAACCTTTTTCAAGAGTTTAAGAAGAAAATCAGGAAGGTCAGGCTAGGATGTGAAAAGTAACACTGGCTGTCCAAGACTTTTTTATCTTTTAAAAATATAATAACTAATGCTAACACTGCCATCTGGTTTGATTCATCTGGCCAGAAAGAAAAATAATGAGCTAAGTGCTAGTCTGTTGAAATATAGAGAAATGCCAATAGTTCCTATAGCTGAAACAGTTTAACGGCTAGGGAACTGTCTCTATCATGGAATATTTGCTTACATGTGGTATTTGCCAAAATTAGATTAACTTGAGTGCAGTAATGAATGTACTGGTTCTAGAGACAGAATAGACACGTATATAGTGACTTGCTCGGATGGTGGGACTTTGCTTTCTAGTAGTAGTGTAGTGGCAAAGCATTCTAACCACCTGAGTCATTTGCCATCAGCAGGTGCCTGCTCTGAGATGTTTTGTCCACTGAGCACCCATCCAAAGATAACAAAAATGGATGTGTAAAAACAAAACTGCAAGAAAAGGTTTTTGTTCCAGTTGAGCCCACCAGCTCATTTCCCCACAAGCTGGGGGAAAAAAAAAAAAAAAAAAAAAAAGTATGGAAAAAATGAAGTTTTGAAAGAATTATGCCTTTGCACAGGCAATAACTGGTAAAGTAACTTGCCTGGACTTGATTTGCTCCTCGGTTGTATTTCACTGTCTCTTGGGCTTCAAGGTTTTTTTTTAATTGTCCAAGTAAGCCAAGCGTTGAAAGCTCGTATGCATGAACCAACGGTAACAAATTGCTCCCAACCCCAAAATGCTTGCTGGCTGACAACCTCAGCCTGGCTGAACTGTGATTTTTTTAGTAATACCAGAACAACTCTGAGTTCAGACGGGGACACAAGCATGTAAATGGTGGTATCTGCACTGCTGCAGCACCATTATATTGCATTACATACTCGTAGTCCTCTGTTATAAAAGGCGTATCAAGGACTGTACTTAAAATGAACATCGAGGATCTAAATTAAGCAAAGAAATTATGTCTGAAGGATGTCTCTTTAAGATGTGCAGAAATTAAAGCTTTCCTGCAATATAAGTTAACTTAGTGTTTTGAGTCTTAATAACCTACTGTTCCTTTGAGCACCAAATTTGACTATAAAATAGTAGGTAGGCTAATGATTGAGTCTTAAACTTAACTGTCCTTTTATGTGGGTTTCTGAATTAGCCCTTTTCTCTGTTGTTTTTAATATGGTTATTATGAAGACAAAGCAGGTATGTTACATATCCTGCAAAAGCCTTGTAGCTAAGAAAACCAGTGGCAATCCCTGCTATGAGCAGCCCCATTACGGTGCCTGTCTTCACAAATCTGTATTGATGCTGACATCCACGAGTGACCTCGGCATTACTTCCGAGAACATCTGTGAAAGCTGCTGACAACATCTCAAGGACCCCACCTCAGCACACAGCAGTTGCCTGACCCTCCTTTCCCTCGTTTTTCTCCCTGTTTGGATCCCCCCTTTCGCAGTAGGTCAGCATCTCTTCAGCCGTGTGCTGCTCCGTGTCTGCACAGCCCCGCTAGCTGTGTCCCCAGCAGAAGGGGAACGGGGTGGGTATGGAAGGCGTGTTTCTGACTGGCAGGAGGAAGATGATTCGCATTTGTGTTCTTGGGGGAAGCAGGCTGGTCAGGAAGGTTCTTAAAATAGCTTCAGCCCCGAAGCCCTGAGAAGACTGATTTGGCTCAGGAAGTGAGCGAAGTGTGAACAGGTGCCTCTGAAGATAACGCAGCGTGGTGCAATGCAGTTATGCAACAGAAGTTGTTGTTTGTGCATGCTAAAAACCAAAGCCACAGCTTGGAAGCTCTCTGGTTTCTTGGTAAAAACAGAGTTACCTGTGCTTTGATCCCAAATGACACATGACAAAATACGAACAAAAGCTGTTACCATTCCTGCTACCAATCAGACAGAAATAACATTGTGCTCTGTTGGTCTGCTGGAGGACCAAATCTAAAGCATTCAGGTACAAAACTGTGACAAACTCTACTGAAGATGCAAATGTATCAACGAATGAGCAAAGAAGCTCAAGTGATAAAATGATGAGAAACTGGATTTAAGCTTGCTTTATTTCCCCAGGATATGCTACTCTACTGAGCTGCCACATGCTGGGTTGTGCCTAAATTATGACTTAACTCTTGTCTTAAGTAACGTAAGGAAACATTTCAGAGAGTTGGAACTGAGCTGCTTGTCATTCCAAGTTGAGTAACAAAATCACTGGAGTCATTTGGTATAGCTGTTAGGGACCATTTAATAAGCATTGTGCACAAACAATGGGAGAAATAGATGCAGGCAGTTCAGCATGAATGTACAGCAGGGAGCAAGCTGATGCTGCACCTACTGTAAAAGCTTGCTTAGGGATTTTCAGTGCTTAGTGAAAATTCTATGGAAACAAGTTTTCATACCATATGCTTGCTCAATTCTGCACAGAGTATCAAGATAATATTTTAGGAGATGAAACTGGCAAAAAAAAATTAATCCCATCTACAAAAGGGATTTACAGATTGAAGGCGGATAAAAGCTTTGCAGTTTTTGATGCCAATTTGCTGTGTGTGTTTTCTAGCAAGGGCAAGTCTCTGGTTCAGTGGATATTTGTACAGCTTTAATATTCTGTCATTTTTGATAAGCAATTTTCTTAATTGGGGATTGAATCCATACTTCCTCAGGAGAGTATTTTCTGGGTTACCTGATAATGCATCATGGTTACACCTACTATAAACTATGCAAGTGAAAATAAAACCAAAATAATTAGGGAATGTTATCTTCGTTTTGTGTTACTCTCAAATACAGTGAAAGAGGAGTGGTACGCTAGAATCACCAAGCTGAGGAAGATGGTAGATCAACTCTTCTGTAAGAAGTTTGGTGAGCACAGAATTATTATTTTCTTTTATGGCTTTGTATTTCTTGAGGGTTGCTTTCATTATTTCCTTTGAATGTCAACATGAATGACACCTTTGATCATCATCTTTTTTAAAAAAAATAAAAAATCCTGGCAGTTGACTGAAAAACAAAAGCATTTACTGTTTATACAAGTTACATTCATAGTAAAAGAAAGATATATAAATCTTCAATGTATAGCTCTTCTAATTGCTTTTAAATCATTACTATTTTTTGGTTGTTGTTTTTGTTTTCCACCTTTGATGGTGAATAAAACAACCAATTACTTATTTATATCCATTGCACTACCATAAAGCTAGTACCAGAACATTTCTGGTTCTGGTGAATTTTTATGTTCTCTCCAAAATAAAAAATGGTCAGCTTCATAAGAACTTGAACAAAATGTTGCATGTTGCTCAACAATAGTTTTAAAAATTTGGATAAAACCACTGCGTTATACCCAGGGAAGAATCCATTAACAAAGCGTAGCGCTGTGACTGCTCACTGTCAGCACGCCATAGTATGATAAATGCTTGTGTTCTTGATGTGCTGAGACTTGGACTCTGTTGGATTTAGGTCTCCTGCATTGTCCCTGGGTTCTAAGATCATGCCTGTAATAGCATGGAGATTTTGTGGCTTCTAATAAAGCTAGTTTTGAATAGAGAGATGGCCAAACTGTCCAGTTACTGGTTTGGTTTTGTTCTAACAGCCGAGGCGTTGGGGAGCACCGAGCCTAAAGCTGTTCCATACCAGAAATTTGAGGCCCATCCGACTGAACTCTATGTTGAAGGTCTGCCGGAGAACATTCCCTTTAGGAGTCCATCCTGGTATGGGATCCCTCGCCTTGAAAAAATAATTCAAGTGGGCAACAGAATAAAGTTCGTAATCAAAAGGTAAGCATTTGTTAATATCTAATTTTTTATTTTTTAAAGAGGCCAAACAAACACCATTTGTGTAATCAAGCACTCAGTTTCATTAAGTCATGAAACATTCAGTCTTTATTTACTCAACAGGCAATATTAAATATTCTGCATTTTAAATTGGTATTTGAAATCCAGCTGAGTCTTCCAAAATATCTTTGTAGCATTTTCACAAGTGTGAAATTCACAATAGTAAAATCCAAACTTTGTATTTCATGTAGTAAAAAGTATGAATTATTTCTTTAGTGTGAAGCATAGGTAGATTATTTGCTTTGTGTTTGCAGGCCGGAGCTGCTAACCCTCAGTTCAACCGAAGTTATTCAGCCTAGGACAAACACACCAGGTAAGACAGGTGCTGTCTCCAAGTGGCAATGTAAGGGATTGGTGCAGAAATAATTTGGATCAATACAACATTTTTCAAGAGGTGATCCTTATGTGATGAGTGTCATGACATGCTTTCCATGAGTTTTTAACAGAATAAATAAATCATCACGAAAATGGGTGGATTTCTGAATAACTAGGATGGATCGTACTCACAGCCCGGGAGAACCAGAGCTGCTATCCTGGTCTGATATCAGGCTTAGGACGTTTGCATTTCGTAGCTCAGTTTTGTTGGACTTTTTTCAGGCCTCTGTTTGTAAAGAATTTTAATGACTTCTTGAAAGCACAAAGTGCCTTTAAAACATGAAAAGGATCCAGATTAACTTACCTTTTAATTTCCTGAGACAATAGAATGCTCCTTTCTTGCTACAAAAGTGTATAGTCCAAATATATATATATATTTTTAAGTGTGGATTGGCTTATAGTAATAACACAAACTGAGACCCAGGGGGTTCATAGGTTTTTCCCCACATATTTCACTGGATAAATAAACTGTGACTTCAAGAAACAATTGTATAGAGTTCTCTGCAAGAAAAAAGGACAAAGAATATGATTCAATAATCATGTAAGCAATAGTCTTCTTGTATAATCACTCAGTATTATGGACTTTGTGTGATTTTTGAGGGGAAGGTTCTTATTCCAAAAGAGGGTAGCTCAGTAGAAAAGACTGTTCAATGAGGAACAGAAGTATAAGGTAGCATTGAGTTTTGTTTTGTTACCAAAACTCTGTTTATTGTCAAATTTGACAGTATAACTAACACTTTGTCAATAGAATAATAACAGCAGATAAAAGATACAGCAGTAAAAAATCATCTAATAAAATTCTCTTTTTGAAAGAACTGACATGCAATGGTCATCATTCTTAAAATGCATAAATAAATAAATAAAAATCCAAAAATATGATTGAACATCTCATTCGGAAATAAATGAAAAAAATCTCTTTAGAATTCTTCATGCGTGCTTTCCACAACTCTGAATGGTATTCACTGCTCAGTAACAGTTAATTGCTATTTGTGGGTTATGATGAGAAGTAATGAATTATGCCGTTTGTCAGTAAAGGAATGCATTTTATTGCTGCTAGAGCATCCTTTGCTCTCTACCTAAGCTACAAATTGTCAGCTCTATCTAGCATTCCTGTAATTGACTACTTGTAGTAGAAGATAGGATTGAAGGTTATTTTTTAAGCTAATTAAATTTTTAGCGGAGCACTTTTTAAATCTGTGTCTTCTGTTCTAAAGGGTGTTATTCTTATGCACTGGAATTAATTAATTCTAACTTTGTAAAAGCCACTGGAATGATTCCTTCCTACATCTAAAGGCTCTGAAGCACAAGTGCTCCTACCTAGGATAATGTTTGACATTTCTAACCACATTTAAACAGATTTTCCTTTACAAAAAGGGAATTACGTGTATCATTTAAGTTGCCATTGTCATTACTTATTGCATGTCCCTGCCTACTCCTACTTGGTTGTGTTCATAGTTTACAGGTTCTTTCGCTGAGAAATAATGTGTTCAAACCCAGTTCCAGATACACTGGGTAATAGTTTATCCATTTCTTTTTTCAGTGAAAGAAGATTGGAATGTTAGGATCACAAAGCTAAGAAAGCAAGTAGAAGAGATATTTAATATGAAATTTGGTAAGTTAAATGTTAAATTAACTGTCATATAATGCTGCTGTGTTTTAAAACAATTCTGTAAAAAGAGTTTTATTTTTTACTGCACTTATTTAGGCAACAGAAATATACTAGGTCAGACAGAATATTGACTTCTCTTGCCTACTTTTTACTGATTCTTCCCTATAAGTGATATGAATTACTTTAGAGCAACATCCTAGGCCATAGTTTTTCTGATTGTATGACAGAGATAATTTTCCAATTGTATGACAAATGTACAGAAAGCTTTTGGATGAAGGAATTTCTCAGAAAAACATATTAGATAGAGGAGGCTTAGGTAACAGATTTTATCTATCTGTAGCAAAAGGGACAAAGTCCCCACTTGAAAATACTCTACAGAAAATAATAGAAAATCTATTTAAATATTTCAATTGTGTTTTTTTTTTTGTTATCTCCGAGTAGAAGAGCTTCTGTAAGCCAAGCTTCTTAAAATCACTTGAGATAAAATACCACCCATTTTAGTGTGTAAGCTATCAATAAATCTTTATTTTCAGCCCAAGCTCTGGGGATTTCAGAGGCAGTGAAGGTTCCCTATCCTGTATTTGAATCAAACCCCGAGTACTTGTACGTCGAAGGCTTGCCAGAAGGAATCCCCTTCCGGAGTCCCACATGGTTTGGAATTCCACGCCTTGAAAGAATTGTCCGTGGGAGTGGCAAAATCAAATTTGTTGTTAAAAAGTATGTTTGTAATTCAGTTAATTTTAACCCTGATTTGGAAGTTAATTAATTTTCTTCACAGCAACTTTAGGTTTTAAATGCTAGCTAAGTTCTGTTTCCATGAAACAGAAAGAGTATTTTGCACATAAGTTCATCTCATAAAAGGATGTAACTTCCTTATAAAATTTAAATGCATAATTTGTGTGTTCTGTGCATCAGTGGATCTAGGGAAAAAACGGCCTTGTATCTGGAAGCTTTATTCTTTCTTTTTCCTCTTTTTTTTAAAGTAAACTCAGAAGAAAATTATAGAGTAGAATACGTAGCTTTGTTTTCTAACTTTTTCTTGTTATAGTAGATGGAGAGTCACGCATGCTTCTGGCAGGATTTTATTATAGAGTGATGATATTTTTAAATTTGAACCTGGTCTAATTCCAAGAAATTTGTGATATTTTGCATATGTAATTGACTGAATTGTGTTCTGTTCAATTTTTAGGCCTGAGCTTGTCACTTCCTATTTGCCACCAGGACTGGCTAGTAAAGTAAACACTAAAGGTAAATAATTAAGCATTATTTGCTGCCATCAATTCATAAATACTTTGGGTTGGAAGACTTCTGTGGTTCAAAAACACGGGTGTCACAATCAAAAGGCATTACTTAAGGCAAATTAGCATGGTAGAGTCTAAAACTGCTATTATTTTAAAAGTTACTCAGACTTTTTTTTTCTTTTACTTATGGCTATTTCAATAGAGAAAATTGAATTTACCCAAGTTCTGCAACATCTATTTTGCTACTAACAGTCTAAAATATGTTTAACTTACAGCTTTTATGTGAAGTAAATAGCAATGAAGATTCATAAAAAAAGAAAAATCTTGTGTTTTCTATAAATAAGAAAATTACTAGCTTCTGAATTTTTGGTAGTAAAAAGTACCTCACACTTAAAACCAAAAATATATCCTGTCCTAAAATAATGAAGTGAAACTTTAGGTGTGATACCTGCCTTGGTTCAAGAGCATTAAACCTGTTTTTTAAGGACATGAGCTTCACTATATTGTTCAGATTTCAGAGCGTAGACTGTACTTAGTACGGACACTGGTCTGTTAGGATTTTCAGAATACAGTTATTTTTTTTGTTAGCTTTGCAAGCTATGTATTGTAGAATGTGCATTACAGCTTTTACTATATTATTTTCTAGCAATGAGTCCAAAGAGTTTAAAAAGATCACGGAGTCCTGCAAGCAATTCAAAGGTCCCAGAAATAGAAGTTACTGTTGATGAAGGTATGGAAGAAATATTAAATACTCTTCTTATTTTTTTCTATTCTTCTAACGTTTTATTCTATTCTATGTTTTCATACCCTATAATTAACTTCTATGTGCACCTCATGTGGCAAACAGTTTGATTTCAGGGCTGCAGATACATTTCAATATGGAAACAGTTTTATCTTTCATTTCTGAATAATACTGGATTCTGTGCAGATGATGATTATATAAAATGTTCAAGTTTGACAGCTTGCTTGGGCCTTTTATTCCAAGCAGAGATGTGGGAAATGTTGTCCTGAGCAGAGAAATGACAGATGTGAGCAATTGTATCAAATGCCTAATTACAATCCTTGAAGAAGTTCTAAAAGATTTTTTTTTTTTGATTCAGAAGTTAAACTTTCTCTAGTAATCAAGTTTGATTTGTTGGGTTTTTTTTGTGTGATGACTTACTTCTGATCTCTATATGTAATGTCTTTTTACAGGTCTCAATAAACCACAAACGACAGATGTTCGAACTAATTCTCAAACCAATGGGTCCAATATGAATTTCAAGCCACGAGGAAGAGAATTTTCTTTTGGTAAATATTGTGGGAATTAGCATGCATACGTTCTATTAACATTGGTATTGAAAATTCTGGTGATTTCACATCAGGGATATTTTGAATTCATTCTTTATTCTAAAGGTAAGAAATGACTGAACTACTTATTTTCATGTACATTCAGTTCTCAGTCATCAAGAATAATACGCCTCAGAGATATCCTGGGTGATTTTTGGAGAGTGCTGTACAAATGCATCATGGATCCATTAAAATCTTATTAACCTAAGTTCAGAATCAAATTCTCCAGACTTTTGCTGCTCTGTTGTTTCATAGTACTGCAGTCTTGGATTTGTTGTCTGGTGCACAGTACCATGAGGGTGTTTAAACTGAGCTGAGATCTTACATTGTGCATAAGCTTAATAAGTCCTCCACAAATCTCAAATACTGAACCTCACTGTGCAGAGAGGGATACATGAGTACACGAGGAGTATGTAGGAACTAGGATGGATCTGAACTAACATCAGTGAGTCATGCCCTGTCGGAGTTGATTTTGCAAGATCAGCTTTAGACCTCTCCAGGGTTGCCAATTCCAGAAAATCAGTAAAGGCCAAACAGGACTGGAAGTGACATCGAGAAGGGCATGTGTCTTAGGGTTATTACACTGAATGTATGAAGAGTTTTCTGCCACTATTTTGGGTGTTGGTTGAGATGAGTAATTTTTGCCTGGTATTGTAAATTTTGATCACTCTGGAATTATTTTCAATTGTAATGACAATACTTTATAAATATTCTTCAAGTACTGATTCACTGCGTGAGTGTTGATTTAATTGTTCCCATTTCCTTCTGACAGAGGCATGGAATGCCAAAATTACTGACCTAAAGCAAAAAGTTGAAAATCTTTTTAATGAAAAATGTGGTAAGTTTATTAATTCCTATTTACTGGGATGTCTTTCTTATATGCATATAGTTAGGCATATGAGCAATAAGTCCACTTATTTCTTCCAAAGGTCCTACAATCCTTGCATACTTTAGTCAGTTTTTCTCATTTTAGTTCATTCTCATGCAGGTTAATTGCAGTTCTGTGTCTCATTTCCACTGGTTATTTTATTTGGGTTTGGAAATGGAGAAGTTGTGGTTTGTATGCTGCTTCTTTAATGACCCAGGGACACAGTGAATCGACATCCTGCCACATCTTTGTAAGCATTCTTCACCCTGATTATGAATGGGAATTTCTATGACTTCAGCCTCTGCGTGACTTGACATGTTATGGGCGGTGTCTGGAGAGGTGTGTGCCCCATAGTATCACAGTATTTCTTTTAGTGCAAGTTGTTTGGAATCTGAAGTCATTAATCTTACCAGTGCAGTTCTTAGAACAAGAGCACTGATGTCACCTGCCATTGATGCTAGTCTCTAGGAAAGAGAGAGGCAGAATATATTGCTTGTAACAAAGTGGAGTACAAAGGACAGTCTTGTATGCAGGCCAAGCCAGCAGCATAAGCTGTCTATAAAAGCTAATATTTTCAACTGCTAATTGTGATCTGATCTACTGCAAGAGAATGAGTTATGTTTGCGACTGTTTTTCTTCCTGCCTACTTATAGCTGTCACCAAAAAAAAAATCAAAGCCTGCTTCTTCCACCTAACCTAGTATGTATGTGCCAACTATTATACGCTATTTGTACCTGAGGTGTTTTCCACTCTATAAACATATCAGTTGTCTAGCTGGTAGATCAGTGGCTCTGTTGCATTTCAGGGGAAGCGCTGGGGCTGAGTGAACCAGTGAAGGTGCCGTTTGCGTTATTTGAATCCTTCCCAGAGGTTTTCTATGTGGAAGGCCTACCAGAGGGAGTGCCATTCCGACGACCGTCTACTTTTGGAATTCCAAGACTAGAGAAGATCCTGAGAAACAAATCTAAGATAAAATTCATTATTAAAAAGTAAGAGTCCTGCATCTCTTTGATAATCAATTCTTTTAGAAAAGAATTGTAGAATGAAAAATAAACTTAGGATGCCAAGTTACTGAATTACCCTCACCAGTCTCAAATACACACTGGAATATTTGTAGTAAATGAACAAATATTCAGAAAGCTCTTGTGGAGGTGGAGTGAGTTACAGTCAGCTCTCTTTGTTCTGACTTGACCTGTTTAGGGAGGAAGAGCAAGTCCAGATTTCTTAGCCCATTTCAGTGCTGACATCACTGTTTTAGTTCCTGTTGACATAAGACTTAGCCAGAGCTAAAATTTATCAGCAATGTACTCAGGGCTGAGACGTGGAGATTTATACTGGGTATTATAAGAATTGTTTTATCTAAACCTATCCCAGGTAAGAAATCCATGTGCCCATGTAGAAACAAGCAGGGGAAGTTCTGGAGCCTCTCAGCCATTGCATTCCTGTCTGTCTGTTTGACCTAGAGAAATAACAGTATTTATGATATCAGTTAGTTCGTGTCTTTAAAAAATGAATATTAGAAAATTGCCTTTTCTTTTATGCTGATGAAATGAATGTAATTTTATTGTCACACATGAAATCTTCAATCTGTTTGCAGGCCTGAGATGTTTGAGGCGGCAGTTAAGGAAAGTTCTGCTAAAAGTCCCCAGAGTGAGTTTCACATCTGCTTAATGTCCTAGATAACAGCCTCTTTCAAGGATTGAATACAAATCAAGAATGCTACTTGGTGTTAATGAATTCCTGAAAGATTTGTTCTATATTGTGGTTGGTTGGTTTTTAACTTGCAAGGAGAGTGTTATCCAAGCTGAATTTGAGGCAAAGCCTAAAGTACTGTGCCACTGGTCCATACCCACAGTAGATCTCTTTCTCTCTATCTCCCTCTCCTCCCCCCCCACCCACCCATTTACAAACTATTGCATTACTTGTTTTTACATAGTACACTAATTCTTGCATTATTTCATCTTCTGGCATGTCTATTTCTGGTTTTCTGAGCAGCTTTTTGTAATTGAACACCTTAAAAGCATTCAATACGTAGCTTATGTTATATAAAGCATGTTACAGTGCTTTCTCTTCAGCAAAAGAATGTGGTATGTCAAAAACCTTGGCTTCTGGATTGCCCTGATGAGATGGGAAAAGCACTTAGAAGCTACCCTTTGAATATAGCTTTAGAAAAAGAGTATTAAAACTGTGTTATCCACAATAAAATTATCACGCCTAATCTGTGCTTTATTGCCTTCCATCAAAATGTAACAGGTGATGTGCAATTCACAGGAGTAGTTCAGCTCTAGAGATAAATTAATTGCTCCTGATACAGAAGTCATTCCAAATGAGAAGTTGTGGTTTTACTCAGCTGGGCAGCCAAGCTCCACCACAACCTCTCTCTCACACCCTATCCTCAAAGGGAAAGAGGGAGAAAATACAATGCAAAGGGCTTGAGGGTTGAGATGAGGACAGGGAGATCACTCAACAATGGGGGTCCACAGGCTGCAGCTCTGCAAGAAGTGCTCCCACATGGCTCTGTACCACGGGGTCCATCCATCAGAAGCAAACTGCTCCAGCACGGGTCCCCCATGGGCACCTCCTGCCCTCCTTCTGCACTCACCTTGCGGGCTGCAGGGCTGTGTCTCACTCCTCACACTCCCAGCTGCTGTTGCACAGGAGTTTTTTTTTCCCCCTTTCTTAAATGTGCTCTCACAGAGGTGCAAACAACACAGCTTACTGGCTCTGCTCTGATCAGCAGTGGGTCATTTTGGGGCTGGCTGAAACTGGCCCTTATCTGACGTGGGGCAGCTGCTGGGCTCTGCTCAGGGGCCACCCCGGCAGCCCCCTGCTACCACAACCTTGCCATGTAAACCCAATACAGAAGTTTTCCAGGGGTGATGTGCACAGATAGCCAGTAGGAAATTGTCAGTTAGTTTGATTAATTCCACTGAGCTAGTCAAACTGTGCTAGTTTGTGCCATGGGACAGCGTGACTCACAAATACAACTGCAAGAGATTTATTCTGTGAATGCACGGATCTGTAGGTGTTACTGAATTAACTGCAAGTACTGCAATTTTTTTTGTTAATACAAGTAACAAAATACATGTTCCATATGTTCCATGTAGTCTTTTTTTTTTTCTTAATAGTCTTTTATAAAACCCAGTAAGTAAAGATTAATATTTTTTAACGTAGCCCTTTCTCCCCTCTTGGGTTTGTAATTGGAAAGACATGGTGTGCATCTTCGATAAGCATGTCTCATTGGAAGATTGCCTCATTTTACAAATGAGATTGGATCTGCTTTGAAAACTTTGCAAATCTCTGTCATTTTGCAGTATTTGCTTTATATATGACTTTGAAGATTTTGGGCTCTACAACTGTTTTTTGAATCTCTTACTTTCAGGAAAAAATAATTCATCTAATATTGCCAATACAGCAAGCTCCACAACGAATACAGTGGTAAACACAGCTGCAGGTGTTGAAGATCTCAACATTATTCAAGTAACTATACCAGGTGTGTATACTGTCTCGTTTCATATCACACTCCTTGTGCTTACATTCTTCATGACATTTGTTTCATCCATTGGAGTTTTTCTACAGTCTAGCTGGTTCACAGTGACACAAGTACAGTCTACAAAGAGCATAATTTAGTATTCTGTTTCTACTGAGATGTTAAATGTTTTCTAGCTTTTATGAATATCTATTCAGTGACATCTTTAGAATATTCTTGGTCCAGCCCCTAGTCAAGAAGAATCCTCATTTTTCCCTTTTTATCTCATGTAATAAATTAAACACTGATTTGTAACTTCCTTGGCAACTTCAAGAGATCCAAACTTGAAGTAAATTGAATAACCACACAGACTGAACTGGTTTGTCTTAAACAACACTGAGGACTGCTTTCTCAGGCATATACTGCATTCATTAGAAACAAGTAACATTGCATGCCATGGCCATCTATTGGATCTGACTGCACTTTCAGCTTTCCCTCACCATCATATGCAATGTAAGAAAATAAAACACTATTTTTTTTAGTTTAGGTTTACAAAATCATCTCTAAATAATAAATCTAATGTTGGTCATGTAAATACGTAGAAGCTTCTCACGGATTTCTTCACAACCATCCATTTTTGCATATTTGTACAATTCTGTGGTACCACTAAAACTAAGAACAAGACATGGTCTGTTTTGAAGCACGTGGATATGCCTGCTCTGAGTAAACATGCTCAAAAAATGTGCTTAATTCTAATGCTTTTCTAACAATTTCTTTCAGATGATGAAAGTGAGCGGCTTTCAAAAGTAGAAAAGGCCAGACAGTTGAGAGAGCAAGTAAACGATCTGTTTAGCCGGAAATTTGGTAAATGCTTCTTAGTCCCCCATTTTTACATAGGTGTGAATGGAACAAATGTTGTTCATGGGGATGCTACTGAATCATCACTTACAGTGGATGATATATATTATCGTTAAAAGTCAGAAGTTTGAGAATTGTGTATGAAAGTTGTGCTCTGACCTCAAAAAGAATCTTTTATAAGGGAAGTGGATTGCCTGGTGTTTTGAACAAAAAATCCCAAGAGCACAGATAACTTTGTTACCCCCACATCCTGTTTCTTTCTGTGTAAACATGGATGAAATAGTTATTTTGCTTGCAAACCATGATTCTTGTTAGGGCTTCATGGTCCCGAGCTATTAATACTTGACACTAGAGTAATTTTAACTTTTAAAACACAAGTTAGCCTTTTGCTCTGTGTAGTTTTCTTTATTTTTTCTGTGTATTTGCACTGTACAATAATGACCTGAGCTTCGTTATCTGAAATTCCTTTGCTAGTGCTGTGTTGAATTGCCTTTCGTGGGCATTGCAGGAAATTACTGTTTTTTGTCACGTAGTTACTTGCTTAGATAGCCTGTTCTATACCTTTTTTAGGAAAAAAAGAAAATCTGAGTTCTTTATATGGTGAGCTGTCAGACTTGGAGTTTAAATAGTCTTGTAGTAATGTTCATGAGTGTAATCCAAAACATCTGTTTCTGACACTGTAATGATTTAATAGTCAAGTGGATTTTCAGTTTCAGATCCAATAGAAAGCTTGTGTTTGCATTTAGTTTCTTAATTATCTGTGTTTTCTTTTCCTTCAATGTAATCGTAAACGAATAAGCTTGAAAATAAACGTGACCTCTCTTGCTTAGGTGAAGCCATTGGTATGAGTTTTCCTGTGAAGGTCCCATATAGGAAAATCACTATCAACCCTGGCTGTGTGGTGGTGGATGGGATGCCTCCTGGCGTGGCATTTAAAGCTCCCAGTTATCTGGAAATCAGCTCGATGAGGAAGATTTTGGAATCATCAGAGTTTATCAAATTTACAGTCATTCGGTACGTGGTTATCACTGATTAGATTGTACAGACCTTGTGAGGAAAGCCCCGTAGCTTTAATAAATTCAGATTGAAAGAGTAGAATTTGCAGTGCATCTTTAAATAGTGGAAGATACGACTCTTTTGGATAACAACACATCAGGTCAAATGAAGCCCAGATGTTCATAGCAGTAGGACAAAGGGAATATTATTACTACTGCATATTAAAGCAAGCTGTCTTCTGAGATGCAATCTATTCCTACTATATAATGGAGTCCTAAAGTGCTGTGGGCCTTGCTGTCCCATTTGTAAGATCAAGCTCTGAGGCAGTTTCCTGGTCTGAGATTTGTTGGCTCTTGGCAATAAATAGTATGTTTGTGGTAGTATTACTATTTTTGAAGTATTTTGGTTGGACTAAGATTCCTGAGTTAAGGTAAGCTTTTTCATAAATATTTTTTTCCTATAAAATGACTTCATCTACAACATTTTAAAAATACAGCATTATACAATTACAATATAAGTGAATTTTAATTTATATGTATATTCATAAAGACACATTTGCATGTGTACGCAAGGTATATTTGTATGTTTGAAGCAGAACAGATGAAATGTGGAAATCATACTAAGAAGAGGTTTAGGAACTAAAACCAAAAAGGTATTAATTTTTGTCATTTCTCAAATCATAGTCTGCTTCACAAGAAACAGAAAACTTCAGTTTCTTTAGAGAGAGATTTCTTAAATTTTACTCTGGAGTCCGAATTCTTGACCCATAACCAAGAAGAGTTCTAAACTGAAAGGACTCTTGCTAGATACGTTCTGTTTAATTGAGCTCTCATGAAGACATGATTTCCCTGTTTATTAGTCATGACTGGGGGAAGGATTTTGATTTTTTTGTGTATGTAGTTTCTTAAAATGCTAGTGAACAAACCACTGTGCTCAAGAGCTGTTCCTCCTGTTTTGTACTACTTTCTGTTAGAAAGTGTGATCTCTGTTACCAAATTGCTGGGTAAGGAAGTCTTGAGAGAGAGACCCCATGCAGTATGTTTCAGAGTCAGCATGTTTTCTGTTCTTCTGTCTTTTTACAGACCATTTCCAGGACTTGTGATTAACAACCGTAAGTAGTTATGTGACACAGATAGCAAATGTATTTTTGTAACTTACCAAGACCAGCTTTCTACATTTTGGCTTTGTGGCAGGAGGCCCCATCATGGTTAAATTCTACATACAGCACTCTTGTCTCTGTCATTAAAATCGAAATTCCTGGCTACAAATGCATGTGCAATTAACATAAGAGCAACGTGAGGAATTTACAGACCAGTGTAAGATTGGTGTTAACTTTGATATGAAAATGCAAGGTACTGATTCTGTATTTTTCAGCTGCAGAGTCCCAAAGAGATTTAGGACCCTGACTGTGCAACAGACGTAGATGGGAGTGTCTAGATTTTAGGATCGGATCCATCACAGCACCAGTTACTACACAAGAACTTTCCAATAGCTGCAGAACCACGTTCCAGTGAAAAACATTTTGCAGAAGTTGTAACAGCTTAGAGAGGCAGAGTGTAATTACCAGAAGTGCAGTTTGACAGTGATGCTTGAATCTTATTTGAAAAATAAGTCTTAGTATTTTCAGTTCTCTATAGTAGTTGTCACCTTGTTTTTTAACATCTTATTTAAGAGAAACAGCAAATAGCAAAACACTGTCATTACAAGTATCCCTTGTGTCATGTTCTTTCTGAGCCAGTGTCAGATTAGAAATTCAGAGGCCAGGTAACTCTGTCATTAGTTTGGCCTTACCCAGACTGAGCCTTACCAACCCAGTACTCCCTCGTTTGCATCCAGCCACCAGTATATTCCAGCTAGCGTGCTGAGGTCTGTGAGTGGCAAGGACAAAGTGTTCTCAGGAAGATGTTATAGTTAGTAACTCACTTTGGGCTGTCCACCAGTCCTAGGTACACCTTAGGTAGGTGAGAGATCCTTTTTTATGAGGGAACCTTCCAGGCAGATAAATGTGTAATAACGCTTCCAGAGAATTGACTTAGAAATGAAAGAATCCATTTAACTGTTCTCTGCAAAACTTCTGACATGTGATGGGATTGACACTAGCTAATCAGCTGAGTAAGAACAACATGGATACCTGATCACACTCCATCACTGGAGCAGGAAGCTGGTTATTGAACGTGTGATTTTATGCAGTATCTATGTACATTAATTATGATCAAAATGAACTGATATTGATAGGTATGAGGTGAATTATTGGAAGCCTCTGAGCCTACTGCAGCTGTGATGCATTATTCTTGTTCTGAAGAACATGTGAGAATTTACGAGGAAACCTTTTGGTGCTTGCAGATAGGGAATACTTTTTCTGTAACATAAAATACCAAAGCACAACTCAGTTACAGTGACTATTTAGTAACCCGTTAATACAACAAGTTTGGGGATTTGCAGATACAAGAGGTAGAATCGCCCTTGTGTTACATGTGGGACCATTTTTGTTGTAAAGTTAAACAGTGATCATGTCTAATCTTAGAGCTGATGGAAGAAGCTGAAGCAGAAGCCCCCCCTGGCAGCAGCACCCGTACTACGAGGTGATGCAGAGTGTGCCACGTGTCCTTGCAGAAGGGGTAGGGCTTGCAGTTCGAGATCTCACTGGCAGATGGTATTAGTAGTCATGTCCTGGGTACACACTGCTTATGATGAGCCATTTCATTTTGACAGATCGTCTGCAACGGTGACGTTTATAGCTATTAAATATTAATAAATCGATAGAACCATTGCTTCCTTCAGGTCTTGTCATTGGCATGTTCCTTGATTTGATTTTTGCACATAATGAGTGAGCTGAAAAGAAGCATCATTAGGGGCAATATATAAAGCCAGCTCAGTATCTATTTATTGATTTCTAGCTTAACTCAAAGTGCGTGGCTGCACCAGGTTGTGTTCAGCCAAGTTAAGTTTGTGTAGCGTACAAGAGCCTAGAACAGAAGTCCTGGTGGAATTTCTGTCCCCGACACCCAGCACTGACCCCCTGCTAGCCTGTGCCCAGACTGCACGCACATCAGCTCCTCCAGTACTGAAAGGAGAACTTAGCGTTACGCTCTGAGTTGCTGAAGTAAATGTGATTGCACAGCTTCCTTTGACATAGTGTGGCTTCTAACTGTTCACAGACCTAAAAATGCACGTATCAAGTTATCTGTAGTGCAGGCAAGATTTTTGCAATGGACTAGACAGGCTGTTGCTCAAAGAAACTGACAAACTGAGAGAAAACATTCAATTAACATTTCAAGAGTAAGGGGCACTTCTGTGGTAGACAGAAAAGAACCTGCTGCCCCCTCTGCTTACATTTGGAAGTGGTGGGAGTGAGAAAAACCAAGAAAAGGGAGAAAAAAATAAACTTCTGTCCAGTGAAGTTGCTGTAGTGTATCTGTCCTCAACTCACCCGCACCATTAGAAGGGTTATACAACTTTCCCTGCACCTATCCACCTGTAATCCGTCAACACAGACCATAGAAAAAGCATTCTGGAAGTAAGATGTACTTTGTGCCCTCCTAGTCTGCAGCTTCCCTGCCAAAATAAACATACTCACCCCTAAGAACAGTATTAACCAGAAGTAGTGACATCTATTTGAAATCCAGATTTATATTTAAGTGGTTTGAAATAAGTTGGTCCAAACCTGGTATATTCTGTGCAAGTGCACGTTATGTTCAGCTAGGACTCAACGATGTCTGCTAGAGTAAATCATCCTCTAAAGAGAAAGTGTTAATTAGTGTAACGTTATAAATGTTTGGGTATTTCTTATATTCTGTTATAGAGCCTATAGGAAGTTGCAGACCGTTATCTGAGACAAAGATAATTTAGTTTGATTAGAAGAGGAAAAAATTAGGTGTTTTTTTTTTCAGAGTAAACTTAATTTCCTAACTTTTGCTAAGGTACTTTTCTGTTTCATATTGTTGAAATTGGATGTGTATTCACTAGACTATATTTTTTTCATTTAAGAGCCAGCTGAACCGAGCCAAATAGAAGTATCTGTAGGAGGTGAGTGTCTGTCTTCAGTTACTATCCAACAAATATTTTTAAGTCATTTTGAAAGAAGCTGCATCTTTTCCTTTTTTTTTTTTTTAAAGAAGGCAAGTCAATCAAAACAACAAAAAAGGCATTTATTGGTTCCTAGGAAGTTTTTTTCATCTGTATTAATATCTTGCTGCATCATGTGAAAGATAGTCTGCAGCAAAAGCTATTATTCGAAGAATTTTACAGAAGAGTTTTATGAATTGTTGTTCTGGGCTGGTGAGTCATGACTATATATAGGCTTTGAATGATTGCTCATATCCTTAGCAATGCATCTAGTTATTCTACGCGGTCCTTTTCACGATTTATGCAAGTGAATGATTGCCATCATCAGGAAATTTGAACAGCACACTGGGCTGAATATACTCGTACGGGTTTCCTGGGGGAAGAGGATTTTTGTGCGTCCTCCCAAACTTCAGCTGAGAGAAGTTTCAAACTGACCTGTTGTCCAGGAACAGACCTGAGCTGTATTTTTTGGACATTGACCTATGTGAGACCAAGGAGGCTGTAGGACTTCCAGCCCCCTTATGCTTTTGTGTATGGTCTTGGAGCATTAAGAGTACAGAACTGACCTGACAATTTGGATGCTGTTTTCTGTTGTGAATGATCCCTCAAACGCTGCCCCTGCTAGCCCCAGCTTTCAGCAGGCCCACAGGCGGCTGCCCTGTGAGGGTCAGAAGCGATGGGAAGGTGCTGGGACAGCTGCAGGACGGCTCCCTGTGTGCCAGGCAGTGCTGAGCAGGGCCTGTCCGACACAGGAGCAGCACGATGGCAGCAGAGCAGAGCCTGCAGCACTGGGAGGGAGGTGGCTGGGCATCAGCACTTGTCTTACAGTGGCCTGCCAGGGCCTACAGGGGGCTGCAGGAAAGCTGGGAGGGACTCTCTGTCAGGGGGTATAGGGATAGGACAAGGAGGAATGGCTTTAAACTAAAAGAGGCAGGTTTAGGTTAGATACCGGTAGGAAATTCTTTACTCAGAGGATGGTGAGGCCCTGGAACAGGGTACCCAGAGAAGCTGTGGCTGTCCCATCCCTGGAGGTGCTCAAGGCCAGGCTTGATGGGGCTTTGGTCAGCCTGGTGTGGTGGGACATGTCCTGCCCATGGCAGGGGCTGGCATTAGATGGTCTTGAAGGGCCCTTCCAAGCCAAACCATTCTGTGATTCTACCATGCTCAGCCAAAACTGGCATTACGAGCTCAGTTACAGGCACACCCTGAGTGCTGTGAGTAGGAGTCTAGATGAATCCTTTTGTAACCAGCAAGAGGAAGAAAATCTGTGAAAAAGAAGAGAAGCGTGAGAGCTGTAGAGGAGCTGAGCTGCAGACTTTAAACACGCAGTTACTGAAAGCTGAAATATCAAATGTCTTTATGATGCCAAAACTATGTGGAAGCGCTGAAATTGTTCGATGGAGTGGGACAGTTGTTGCTGAGAGTGCCTCGTGGGGGCAATCCAGCTATGGGCCCTTCAGGAGATTGTTTAAAAGAAATAGACAAATGTGGTTTTGAATTTGCCATCCAAAACTGCATTCAGAGCCAGTTACCGGAGAAATGATCTTGAGACAAGGCTGAAGAACACACAGTCGCTTCAGAACCCGGCTGGGAGGTGATCAAGTGGTGAAACACTTCGGCTTTGCTGTGATGAATTACCCTAGCCCCAAACCTTGCAAACAGCTTCAGTGAAAAACGAATTTCCTTCCAACATCATCGTCTCTGCTTATGAAAAGAACAAAATCAGGCTCCAGGTCATATAGGCAATGCTATAAAGACACACAATTTCTTTGATTTACCTTTAAGCATCCCTGTGAACAACAAAAGCAAAGATTTTGTAATGAAGTCTCCTGGAATTGAAAAAAAATCTATATGAAAAGATGATGAATGCTTTACCCAACAAGATCAAATTTCTTTTTTTTTAAGCATCTAATAATGCCTTCCTGTGTAATACATTGAAGAAGAAAAATTAGATGAGGTCCAAATTTCTTTTGGATAAGACTGAAATAGAATAATGTCTGTATGTAGTTGGGAAGAGCAGCGGTTTTATAGACGGAAACAAAAAATGGGACAATTCTGTGCGATGAATGTTGGGTCACCATCACAGAAGGCATGACTTGAGCTCAGGTATGGTCAGGTGTTGTTAGCATTTAGACAGCATTTGAACAGATGTGAAGCAGTGGTCGTGCCCTAACACTTCGGGTAAAGGAAGCCATCCACGAGGCTGCAGACGGGCTGTGAGCAATGGGAACGCTTCACCCAGCGTCTGCAGGGTGTCTGAGGAAGGAATGGTGCTGGGGATTGACAGAGGGAGAAGGACTGAAGAGTAGGGTTCAGACCAAAACAGTGATATTTCTGATGTGTTTCCATGAATTGTGTGGTTTCTTTGTGGATTAAGTTACAGAATCCGAGAATCATTACGGTTGGAAAAGACCTCCGAGATCCTCTGGTCCAACCTTCCCCCTCCCACCAATGTCCCCCACTAAAGAAAAAAAAAGTTCCTTTCCTACCAAGGTTTTGAGCTACATAAAAAGCATTTTGAAGTTTCATACGCTTCCAATAGCAATTTCTGTGCCTTAAGAAGTAGATCTCTAAGATCTCAGGGTGCCTTACATTCGAGTGGATATGGTAATTTCCACCAAATCAGATTATTGTGAATACGTTGTTGTTTGCTGTTAATAATTTAAAAGGATAAATGAATGCTTTTCATATTTTCGTAATTTTTTTACTTACTAACTACAATAATTATGACAAAATTGGTTGAGAAGGGTTTTTTTTCATTCATTACTGCTTTTCCAACAGATGTTATGGAAACAGAAGAAAGTTCTCAAATAAAGCAAGAACCAGACCCAACGTGGTAGACCTCAATACTACGGTAAAGTAATTTAGCGTTTCTTGAAGTCAGTGTTTGTCAAGGAATAAACACTTGTCAAGGAATAATACTTCGGTAATTTGGAGTGAGGAGAAGCAGGCTAAGAGAGAGGGCTGAATGCCAGAAGGTGCCAGTCCTTTACTTGACTTCTGAAGTATTTTGTCTCAGTTTTCATCTATAAAATGTAGGACGTTTTCAGTATCTCATCAGAATACAATGAACGCATACGGTGTTCAAATTTGTGTGGCAGTCATTCCTAGGAAAATGTGGGCTGTAATAGCCTATAAATAAAATTGGGTGATGGTAATTACATACCTCAGAGGCAGAGTAAATGAAAGCTTAGGGAATTAGTGTTTACGAAGAGCTCTGACATGGTGGTGTGAAAGAGCATTATTATTCTTGGTAAAGCCCACGTATTTCTAAATTGTAATCGGGCAGGAAGGCTCTCCACCGTGATTGCAATAGTGTCTAAGCTCAAGACACTTGCTAATTCGTTAGTCATGATGACAAACCAACTAACTTGAGAAGGTTTGCTGCTTTTCTGTAAACTTTATGAAAAGCTTAGTTTAACTCCAAGTGCAGAAATGTCTGAAACTTTTTTTTTTTTTAACTTTGCTTACTCCTAAAATGGCATTTTGGTGGAGGTGGAGAGCAGTGCTAGCAATGTTGTTATGTCACCAAATGTAAAGGGGGCTGACCCACACACATGGGAGTTTATATGCTTCATTCAAAGAAAAAGGCATTTTTAAGCCATCGCAGATCTTTACTACTTTTTCCAATTTCAATTTTTTGGTACCAAGTGCGATCCTCATTTTGTAATTTTTGATACTTCAGTAATTGGATTGGATAGACATAAAACAGGATGTATTTGTATGGTATGCTCAAGCTGAAGTCTGTGTAGTTTTAATAAGAAGAAGACATTTTATTCATTACAGAGAAGAAAATTCTGCGTACTATTCCAGCTCTGAGGGCACAGACAGGCAATCAGCAAAGCCAAGCCCTGGCTGTCCACCATTAATTTCTGCTGGCCTGAGCAGATGAGGCTGGTAATGTATTTGCCAGCTCGCATGAAGCAGTGGCTGGGGGAGCCTGTGGATTTCACTCCTGGCACCATCTGGCTTTTTGGAGACAAGGACAGCCAAGGCCATGGCTCTCTGTCAGGGCAGCACAAACACAGGGTGATGGAGGCAGTGATGCTCCCTGTTGGATGCTGGGTGTCTGCTCTCAGTCCTTCCAGCATTTCTAGTGCTCAGGGCAAGGGACGTCCCCACTGATGGGTTTCAGCATGGAGAAAGCAGCTTTGTTCTCTTTGGTGCTCTAGCTGTGCTGAATGTTAAGATTTGACTGGACAAAACCAGGGCCAACCTTAACTATCGCTAGCTGTAGTGCTTAGGGAGGGAGTCGGGGCTGGGTGGCTTCCAGGGTCGCTTGCAACAAGCGTTTCTGTGCTTCTGTAGGGTCTGCTCTGTGTGGCAGTGGCATTGGACAGCCTGGCTCCAGAGCTAGGAGGTCCTTGTCTCCTTTGTAAAGGAGATCAAAGCTAGCTGCAGGGCTGGTCTTGGCTGATAGATGTTTGACCATGGTCTCGTGCTCTGCTTTAGTAGTTTCCATAGTGTTTTGGCCTGGGCACTTAATACTTTGTGCTGCAGGACGTGCAGGACAGGCTTCATTCCTAAACATTCCTAAACAAGGGCAGTGCTTTTGGCTGGAGCGGACAGGCCTTTTATTGAAGGGGAGATAGCACGGCTTGTAAAGTTTGAGGCAAGAATCCAAAGGTGTCTTGAGAGCAAACAAGTGAGGAATGAGAACCTAACCCTGACCTGCTCAATAAACAAAAAAAAACATTTTCATACAAACAAGTATAAAATGTAGCCTTTATCACTGAGGATGATAAGGAGGCCAAAAGAAAAATCATTCACAAATGAGTTAGGGAAGTTCCTGATTAATTTGTGTCTATTAAACATAAAAGTTAGAGGTGGTCTCTGGCTCAGAAGGTCCCTAACCTGCTGGAAACTTGGAGGAAGGAGCTGGGCTGCGTCACCGAAGTCCTTATCCTTGGAGCACTGAGTCTTTGGAAGGCGCCTGGGTGGTATGGCTGCTTCCAGGGGTTAGCAAAGAGCTAGCACGTGCAGAGCTGCTGGCTGCAGGGGGGTGACGGAGTGAAGGGACAAATCCAGAAAAAGAGTGGTAGGAATTGGCAGAGATTGACATGTCAACGTATCCACTGTCTGTGCCCTGAGAACTTGAAGTACAGCAGTAGTCTTTCTAACAAAATGGCTGAATTCTGCTTTGGAAATGTTTGTCATAAAGCTGAGCATGTCATTAGAAAATATATATGTATTTGTTTTGTTTGTTTTTTAGTGAGAAGCACTTCACCTAATAGAGATATATAAAGACATCTCATTTGTCCGATAAAGGTCATGGAAATTTTGTCTGAGCAGTGGCTCCACAGCTTGCTGCTGCACTGCTCTGAATTTTTGGACACTGTAGACCGTCTAGACTAGCTAGAGAATGTGTACTAAAGCAAATACTCCATCTAAACTTTTGCAGAGAGTATTCAAGCGTACTTTTAATCTCTCATTTATGGAAAGCAATGTTCACCTTCTGCATGCTTTCTAATTCTAACTGAAAAAAAAAGACACAGAAAAACATAATCTACTAGTATTTATAATAAGATAAATAAGATAGAGAGCTGCAATGAAACTAACTCACTTTTATGATTTGTTTTTTTGTCTAGTCAGAAGCACCCAGTTCTGCGAAGAGCTTGTCAGGCCTGTCCTGATCCGTGTAATATAACTGTATAAGAGAAGTACCTTCTATACAAACCCTTTTTGTACTTTTAGATAGAAATGTCTACTTTTTCAGCAGTTCTGTGAATTGACTTAATGCAAAGAATGACTGTAGATTTGGAATGGCTGGTTTTACTTTGGAATATATCATGAGGACTAAATTTGATGCAGCAATGCTGGGGAGATGACAACAATTAAAATCAACAGGGACTTAACAGAGGCTGTCTGCGTTTCCCAAAAAAGCTGAACTTCACTGTACCTGAATGCATCTCAGCTTTTGTAATGAAGAAAAACATCCTGCAAGTAGTTCAGTTTGTTAGTTTTACTTTGAGATAACAAATCACTAATTTTTGGTTATCACTCCTTTAACGGCTGCTTGGACAATAGTATCTGTATATTTGAACTAATTTTTCCTCTATCTACCACAATTCATATGTTTTTCATAAATAAAAGATGAACTGGTTCACTTGACCGTTAGTATGCATTAATGAGGTGGACAGTATTTCAGTGTGTGGATTAGGAACCAATTGAACCCTTCTGTAGTTTGTTCTGTTAGCTCGAAGTTGTAAGTGCATGTTTTATCAGAATATCTTGGTTTGTGTATGAAGGCTCTGGTCTTGCAGTCCCAATGTAGACAAAGCTCGCATGGACCTGTGGGAGGGCTTTTCTCCCGAAGGCTGGGGGGTAAAGCCCTGCTGTCCTTCTACAGCTAGTTACGGAAACTTACACTACAAGCTGCTCTAAGTCCTCCCGTGTCAAAAGTTAAGTCCCCTACAGTCCTGGTCACGCCACACATGATGTAAGAGACTCATGTATGCATTTTTTTTTGAAGTTTCACAAACCATAAAGTTGTGAAGTTCTGGTTATATGATACTCTCTATAGAGAAGATAGAGATTATTGTAAAGGTTTCTCTTTCATTGGCATGAGTTTGGGATTGACTGCATTATGCACAAATGCTAAACCTTATTCCCTCATTAAGAAATAAAGACATTTCTGATGGTTTTTATGACTGTCCATGCAGTAAACGTTTATATGTGACGTTCTAGCAGGTAGAATACACTACAGTGTAGTTACTAATTCCAGTGAGGAAAGTAAGTTCCTGTCATGCCCTTCAGACAGAAAACCAGCTCTGGGTGGGTGAGGTTGTTGCATCTGAAAGAAAAACTTTGAAGACATGAATGCAGTTGGACATGCTGTCTGTTCCTGGGAATACCCAGCACGAGCAAGCTGGAACTCGGCAGATCAGTTCAGAGCATCTCTTACTCTGCCATTCTAGAGGCAAGGCAGAGCTACAGCCCACATGCAGGTGTGTTCCCGATTGCTCGGGGTAGGTCTCAGTGCTCCCATGAAATATTGGCTGTTGTGCTCTTGGTGGCAGCGGGAGCAGGGTTGGCTCCACGCTGAACCATCACCAGATGCAGTTAACGTATCTCCAGAAATAGGTTGTTACGGAGTGACAGACAGTTTCACGATTGCTGCTAGAAATTTAGAGTGGGGAAATGAGTTCATGCAGCCTTCCTTGGGCTCTCAACTTCCCCTTTTGAAAAAGCAGAAGGATGGTCCGTCCCTTCTTCTCTCTCAGCCCCTTCAGGAGGCACTCTGCACAGCTGCCTGCCCAGCAAAGCCAAACATTGCTACCGGAGCCACCAGTGCTGCCACAAGTGGAGGGAGAGGCATCAGAGCAAAAGAACTGAGAATGACGGAGTTCAGACTGCTGCCTTGCGTGGATGTCCTGCAGATGTGTCATGTACTGTGCGTACAAGAGCTTAAAAAATGAAACAAAAACTGATGACAGCAGTTTATCTGGAAGTCCTGGAGTAATTCCGTGATGCTGGGAGCTCGGGTAGTGGTGTGCCTCGTGTCCGTCCCGCCAGGGGGTTCGATTAGTGCCAATGTGCCCATTGGCATCAACACTGAAGTCTCTTTTTGGTCTCAGACATTTTGAGTTATAACCAGTAGAGAGAAATTAGACTGACAAAATAATTGCACCGATATTTATACCTTCTAAATATCAATTTTATATTAAAAATGATATATATCTATAGTCCTAACAGGTAGCAGACTTTTAATATGTTGACCTTGTATGAAAATCGCACTCGTTTCCAAACTAGTAATACATGAGGTGTGTCTTTGGGCATTGGCTGATAATGCCCTAAAAAGCCTTGTCTGTACTAATTAACAAGCAAATAAATAAAATTGCAACAACTTAAACAGAGCTCTGGATTTTTTTTCCTGCAGCAGAGAACCCTTGTGGCAATGAAGTAGCAGACAAGCTTCTCTCCGCTGCACACTGCTGAACCTAAAAAGCCCGTCCTGCTCCTTGGACCCATTCCTTTCCCTCAGATGGGACTTTGGGTTCCAAGGGCTCAAGGCGTTGATCTTGGAGCGTGGTGTCCCGCAGGTAGGGCACCGCAGTTTCCTCAAGCAGTAACCACTAGGTGTCAGGTGAGGTCCAGCACGGTCCTTGTGCTGGTGCTTTTCCTTTGCGATGTGAAGTTTTCCATGTACAGTTTCATTTCTTTATGTCTTATCAAGTGACTAGGGGAGGGGACAGATTTGCATCTCACTTTGGTGATTTCGCAGCCTCTGCTAGAGCATTTAATGCTGTTCATACGTGCAGCAGTTTGCTGTCAGTGACATGAATGTGTCCTCCCCTGACTCTGACTTGAATTAAGCTTAAATGATTTAAATATATATTTTGAACAAAATGAGGGTGGCCTTCCATTCATCAGATTTTAATTTCTAGGAGGCTTTGGTACTGCTTCTGGGTGGAGCAGCCACAGAAAAGTGGGACGCTGCTGCTGTCACTCTGGAGGCCAGTGGAAGCTCTCGGTTCCTCTCAAAAATCAGGTCCTGCCCTCAGGCGCTGGCCTTCTTTTCCTGATCTGAAAACTTGGATCACCTCGTGAACTCCGTAAATCAGCTTATTTCTCAGCTGGGTCATTATTCTTCCAAGAATTTTCCTCTAAAATTGTGTTTCTTCCTTTCTAGTAACTATAGGGCAGTTAGTGTCATGCCACCTTATGTCCTGCATCACGGTGTGAGCTAACTGGCACCAGCAGTAAAACCTACAAACTCCATTTCTCACATCACAAGACAACAAATGAGGAAACAAGAAACATCCGAATTAAGTGCTTCCAGTAATGCGCTGCCTGTAACTCTGTTTTAAATTTAGTACAAGCATCGTTATGAAATGAGCTTTCAAGCAAATGTTGCTGATGGTTCTGCATATGAAACAGAATCCAACCAGCCCTGGGTGTGGGGTTTTTATATATAGATCACTTGTTGCATAATTTTGCCTCGTGTACAGGGAAGTCCCCAATATAATGAAATAAAAACTGCTCAGTGCTGGGAAGGGCTGGGCTGTGTGGGCAGGGTGCTCACCTTGCTCAGCTTCTGTGAGGATTCCTCTTTTGTCCATGCAGGATGCAGCCCCAGATCCCGCGTGGTGGCTGTCACCAATCCCTTTGATTGATTACAATCCCTTTGATTGATTGAATCAATTGATCCCTCTACAGCCCCATCTCCTGCTCTCTCCCCAGGTCCCAGTTTGCTGGCAAGGGTCAGCCTCAAGGGCCTCAAGAGCCCTTTGCCGGCAGCTTTTTGGGGAAGCTGCAGGTGGCAGAAAGGCGATGGCGAGGCAAGGGCAGCACCCCTTGCACAACAGCCCATGGCCACACCGTCCTGTGCTTCCCCAGAGGGTGCCCAGGAGGACGGTGCTGCTGTCCCTGGGCTCGGGGAGCTCCCTGCGGCACCCTCAGCTCTGCAGGGCAGCAGGGAAAGGCTCCTGCTCCCATTGCTGAGGTGCTTGTCCTGCCCATGGCTGCTGCAGCAAGGGCTCTGCAGCGCCTGTGCCTCGCAGGGTGGCCGTGCAGGGGACACTTGGCTGGTGGAGGGGACACTGGGCCATGGGGGCTGGTGGCCCGGCCACCTCCCTGCTTCCCCTCTGCCCGGCGCCACCGAGGGGGCTCGGCTGGAGACTCCCAGCGGGAAGCACCCGTCTCAATACAAACCACAGCGGGTAAACAATTACAGCACGATTGCAGCGCTGCTTCCGCTTTCCCAGGGGTTTTAACAGCGAGCGAGCGCGGGGCGAGGGCAGAGGGGAGGCAGGAGCACGGCGCAGAGCTGCAGCAGCCATGGGGGACAGCCTTCATCCGGCACATCGAGCTGCTGGGCTACGAGAAGAGGTTTTTCCCCAGCCAGCACTACGTGAGTACGAGTACCCAGCAAGTTGTGCAGTGAGGACTGGCAGGGGCAAGAGCCTGGCCAAGGCATTTCTTGAGATAAATTTGATGAGGGTTTAAGAGCATCGCTTTTGTGGGGGTGGAGGGGCCACAGCTGGTGGTACAAGCTGGAGGCAGCCAGAGGCTGAGATGTCTTAAACACACAAGGTTTTGGGCACCACCTTTTCAAGTTCTCGGTTGCTTCTCAGGCTTGGAAAGGACTTGATGTGGCTCTGGCCTTCTGATTCCCACCCAACCTCGTGTTTCTGTCCCTGCTGTGTGTCCCCAGCTCCCAGGCTCACCTGCTGCCTGCACAAAGCTGTGCAGGAGGGAACAGACAGAAAATATGCAATTTGAAACCAAAGCATCTGTGGGACACCCAAGGGGCTCCGGCCACAGCAGGGTTTTGGGTCCTGGCTGCCCACAGGGGCTGCAGCGCCTCTGCTCTAACCCCTTAGGTCTACATGTTCCTGGTGAAGTGGAACGACCTCACCGAAAAGCTCGTCTACCGCCGGTTTACTGAGATTTACGAGTTCCATGTGAGTGGTCCTGGGGGGGGCACCAGCCCCTGTGCTGGTGCACCAGGGCTGGGCAGGGGGCAAAAGGGGAAAGGAAGGAAAGCAAATTCCAGCTGAAACTTCCCCTGAAACAAACCTGGCTCAAGAGAGGCTCCTGGGTCCCAACATTTCGATCTCCTTCATGCCTTGAAAGGGGGAGCTGCTGGCCCCATGCTCCCTGGGGAGGTTTCTCCTGGTGTCGATCCATGGGGTGCAGCCAGGAGGGGGTGAGCAGCGGGCAGGGTGCCGCGGAGGGGTCCCTGCACCGTCCTCACGGCCCTGCCTGGCCCTGCTCTGCAGAAAACACTGAAGGAGATGTTCCCCATCGAATCCGGCGACATCAACGCAGAGAACCGCATCATCCCGCACCTACCAGGTGAGGGGCACAGTGCCGGGGGCCGAGGTTGGGACAGAAACTGCAGCTGGTTGGGAAAGTCCCCGCCTGCCTTGCTCTGTGGGTGCCCTTGCGCAGGTGCTCTGCTGCAATTTCTGTTCCTGCCTTCTGGGCTTGAAACCAAAACCCCAGCAGGGGCTGCCTGAACGGTGGCTGCTTCCCCCAGCAGAAGCTGGCCACAGACCCCATCCATCCTCCCTGATAGCGCGCACCTCAGGGACATGCAAAAGGGAAAGTGGCTTTGGGCAGCCTCAGCTGAGCAGAGCCCTCCTTCGGTGCCACCACCCCCTGGATGGCTTTTTGTGCCCGTACTGTACGAGAGGAAGGGAAGCAGTCAGTGTGTGCTCAAGGAGAGGGAGTAACTCGATCCAAAGAGCTGGCGGTTTGTATCCAGGCAAGGCGCGGTTCAGCAAACATCCCTCTTTTCTGGAGTTTCCTGCTTCAAATGGGGCAAGAAGGAGCATGAAAAATAGCCATGGGTTGTGACCCCCCCCCCGGAGGAGTAAACCCCCAGCTCACAGCAGGGTGGCTGCTCCCCGTGGGGCCGGACACCCCCGCTGTGCTGGGACCTTTCCATCGTGCTGCTGCTGTGCCAGGCTGCTCGGAGCCTCCCCCGGGGCACGGGGCCGGCCTGGGGCAGCGCTCCGCTGTGTTTGGGGAACCGAAAGCCCTGGGGGTGGATGGAGACAGGGGCTGGGCAGGGGTGGGACAGCGGCAGGGGCTGGGTGAGCCATGCAGACGCACACCCTGATGCAGAGTTCAATGCTGCGACGTGGGTTGGGGCTGCCGGTGGTGTTTTGGGGCTACCAGGGGTGGAGAGCCCTTGGTG